ATATCTTCCTTTCTTTTCTAATCCAAACAGTCTTTTGTAGATTTGGGAGGCAAGATTTTGGCAAGATGTCAGAGAAGGATTGTATACAATTAAGTTTCCTATTAACCGATAGGAATCTTAATTGTGTATAATCCTCTGATATCTTTAAATCTGTTAACACCTCTTTTCTTCATGAATAAATGGAAATCTAAATAAATTATATATAAATTAAATATAAAATTAAAGAATAAAATGCTATATTAAAAAAAACCCTACTGGTTTGGTTTTACTTTGAATGCCTATTTTAATTACTTTTGTCTAGTTGATATTACAAGTGTAGATGCCTGAATGCAAATAAATATAACAACCATGAAAGTGCATTTCTGTATTAAATCAGGATATGACCATTACATTCGCATGGGCATTAACCCAAAGAAACTGGTGATGGGCGTTCCATGGTACGGCTATGATTATACATGTCCAAACTTAGTTAAGGTAGGAAAAACCAATTCATTTCTATGGTTTTGTGGGCATGAATTTCACCCCAGGACTATAAGTCAAATAATGTTAAGAACCAGTTTGTCTGTCAGGTATTTGCTTTAGTTTCTCTGTCTCTAAAATCTTAAATAAGCAGTTGTATTTAAACAGGAAACCACAAGAGAAGGCTCCAAAAGTAACCAGTGGGGTGGAGGGGAAAATAAAATCTTAAAAGCAAGAATCTTAAAAGAAAGAAGAGTAATTAGGATAGAGCAGCATGGAATTTTTTTTCTTCCTATTATAAATTCAACAAAAATGGCCACCACTCAGAGAAAGAAATCCTGTAAAACGAGATGTGTAGACTGGGGAATTATGGGAGTTAAAGTCCACATATCTTGAAGTTGTCATTTTTGGAAAATACTGGTCTAAAGTGACATGGATTTTCTTCTGAAAAACATGAAAAAATCCCAGAAATACCAGCTATATCCACATTCAGGCTGCACAAATGCCCCCCTACAAATGATTCAGACACTGCTGCACAAAAAGCTAAAGCGACTGAAGGGACCTTGGTAAGATTTGAAACTCTGCTTAGTTTGTAGTCTGAAACATGTGGTTCTGAAATCAATAAAACCCATTTCTGAAATAACACTGAAAGTCCTGAAGTACCCCTCTTGCCTTAGATAATGATTATTCTTCAAAATACCTGTCTTCCTATAATAGTGTACATAAGCTTACCGCTTAATTTTGGAAATTGAGATTTTCTCAGGCATGAGACAAGTAAGAATTTATAAAGGTTTCCAGTGCTGCATATTTGAGAAATCATTGCGTGTATTAATAACAGAACCCTTTTTGAAGTTTACCATAACTACATAATGGAAATTCCCCTTTTTTCAGGATCATGTTTGCTTCTTTGCAAAGAATGTTTTCTCAGGGGCTCCGTGCAATAATGCCACAATAAGACAAGCCCCCTATAGAATCATCATGACATTGGAGAAGACTTCTACATCTGGGATCCTGTGGGATGAGGAACAAAAAGCTCCCTTTTTAGAATACAAGGTAAATTGTTCTAAGGGTTCCTTTGCATAGAAAGTAAGTGTGTGTGTGTGTGTGTGTGTGTGTGTGTGTGTATGTGTGTGTGTATGTAAACAAACAAAAATATATTAGCACAAAATTAATGTATATTTTCCTGGCTCCATGTGACCATCTTTTGTACACTTCAAGTTTCTCTGTTTAGATTTTAAAATTCCCACCAGTCTTATGGCTTTATACATATACTAAAAGAGAAAAGTACAAATTATGAACAATAGATTGCAACTCAGGTTAGAAAGAGAAAGAACGAAGTGTAAAAGATAAGAAATAGATAATTTTTAATTAAAAAACCAGAGAGACAATATAGCCATGCCAAGATCTCCACAGTCTCTACTATAACTACATTTTAATTCTTCTTACAGCCATTTTTATCAATGGCCTTAACCAACGGAGTTAGGGTTATTAGTGGAAGGAGTATTAGTGCACCCTATTTTATGTATCTTATTCAAAGACATATTCGTGTTCATTTGCTTGGCTGAATGAATTGTTTAATAGAAAATATATAAAAAATAACATTCTGTGAGTTAATTAAAAATACATTGTTCTTCAGACTATAAACTGAAGTTCTTGTTCATAGGTTGTTTTAATAATTTGTTGTATAATTTCAGAAACTTCCTTGTATAGTAGTTTTTATTCAGTTTTTCCTTTAAAATGAAACTACGAAGATGCCTATTTTCATTTTATAGAGAGCAAAATCAGACTAAGTGATAAAATCCAGATGTCGGATAAGATGAATGAATCTGTCACAACAATCAAAACATATTGTGTAGCAATTCTCTCTCTCCCTCTCTCTTCAGGATATTACTTGGGAAAACTTGAAAAGCAAAGGGAGAACACAGGAATATTAAAAATGACAGACATTCCTTCTCCAGTAAAGTTTTTTTTTTATTCCACCTGTATTTTTCACAAATAATTCAAGCTGGCAAATTCTCCTTCCTCCTCCTATTTTCCTAACCCTGTGAATTGGATTGGGCTGTGAGAGCAGTAACTGGCCCAACATTATCTAGCCAGCTTTCATGCCTAAGCAGGACCCATTAATTTCACAATAGAAACTTTTTCTGAAAGCTCCTTTTGCTTAGCCTGGCTTACCTTGCAAGATTTTTGAGAGTAAAACTGTGTGGGAGACAGTAGCCCTATCAGCTCCGCTTTAGTATGTTTAGTATGTTTATCTTTGACCTGGATAACCAGTTAATACATTCTCTTTCTTTTGGTCTTTTGTAGGACTCAAAGAGTGCTTTTCACCAAGTGTGGTTTGACAATCCTAAGAGCATTTCTTTGAAATCAGCCTATGCAAAAGAACATGGTCTGAGGGGCATTGGGATGTGGAATGCAAATTGCCTGAATTACTCGGCAAATGATGCAGCTCAACGGCAAACAGAAACAATGTGGAAAGCCTTGAAAGGCGCATAATTTATGAATTCAGACAGCCACAAATGATTAGTTAAGTTTTTAAAGGGTACAGTATAATGCACAGGAAAAAGCTTGGAAGACTACTTGATGTTCATTTACCTTGTTCCACAATGAGATATGTGCCTCGTTCCTCAGAGCTGTGACATTTTATTTATTTCTCCATAAGGAAAATAATTTACATCAATCATTCTAAGCATGTCCTCTAATTCCAGGAAAGGAAAGGGGAAATATATGTCATAAATATGGCAAATAAAGTTTTTTTTATAATTAGAGTAAAAGGTTTTTGCTTAAAGCATATGACTTATAAAATCAATAATTGGAGGGGAAGCAGAGGGAGCGAAAAATGATTGCATCAATGAACTGTTTTTAATTTACAGTTTGGTTCAGAATATGTTGTTCTGTGTACTTAGTAAATTAAACTATTTTTTTCTTGAAGCAGCTTTGATTTTTCAGATTATGTATAATTAATGTTCTCATTTAATATATACCAGAATTAGAAGTATTTGGAATGTAAAAGTCGAGTTCTTCTGGAAAGTGTTGTAAAATTTTAATATCCTCTTTCTTATCTTCTTTTGCTCAAAGCAATTTGTACTTTTCTATCAATAGCACATTGAGGCCTAATTCCTTGGTGTAGGGATAGGTTTACAACTTGTCTTTCAGGTTGAAGAATTTGAAGAAAGAGCTTGTCTAGGTTTACCACAATGAGATTTTCATTCCAGAAATTCATTCTCTAAGGACAAGAAAAGGTCCCAAATCTAAGTGCCTATTTTTAAGCAAACTATTAAATATATCTCTAGATTGTTTGGCCTTGTAAAATTGACCCTGTTTCAGTCTTTCCAAAGGAAAACACACTTGCTAATAAGGAATAGCTCCAACAGATTATGGAGCCAAGGAATTTGTTTAGGCTAGTTCATATTATCTGCTTCTTACATTCTTTCATCTCTTTGTCATAAAGAACCTTAAAATATCTATAGGAACAAAGTGCCTCATCAATGGCAATTCCGACAACACAAAACCCAGACCATTTCTGATGCAATGTTATCATATTGTCCTTAATAATAATAGCAGCTTTTGTATTTTTTCAATGTGCTTCTTTCTGGTATTGTTATTATCACTAAGAAGCTCAAAGCAGCAATATTGTAGTTATGAGAGGACATTTGCCTTGGAAGGTATTTTTACCTATTCACACATCTGCTCAGTTATATCTTTTTGTGGTAAATTAGGGCAGAGGCAACGTTAATGATTTTCCCATGCTTTGGTAGTATAGTAAAGCTTTCAAAGCTCATTGGCCCTAATCCATCCTTCCTTCCTTCCTTCCTTCCTTCCTTCCTTCCTTCCTTCCTTCCTTCCTTCCTTCCTTCCTTCCTTCCTTCCTCCCTCCCTCCCTCCCTCCCTCCCTCCCTCCTTTCTTCAGTGTCATGGTCATAGCAATTCAGAAATATGTTTACCATTCAGCCTTCTTTAAGTAAACTTATTCCTATATCACTTTAATTATGTAATAGTTATGTATTAGCTATTAATTTTACAAAACTTTTGTGCAGGAAGATAGAATTTTGTTAATTCAGGATTAGTAAAATCCTTGTGAGTAGAACACACATTAGTTTGGAAACATCAAAGGAAACCTCTAATTTTTCTGTTACAAGCAAAAATATAGACGTGCTTAAACTTCAAACATTTAAATATTAGAATGTAACTGAAGAAAAGAACTCATTTCTCTAGCTTCGTTTTATAGTAGTTGGAAACTGGCAGTCTGATTGTTTGAAAGTGCTGTTAAGATTGAGAACAAGAAAAAAAATGTTTTGTATTATGAGATAAAAGCAATCAATCTTCTGTATACCAAAATTGCATCTGGATGGAAATGTGTCTTTTCAAGAATCCAAATAGAGTTTTGCTATATACATCATGATCCCACCCATACCACTTTGCAGGATAACTAACACCTACATAAATATATATATATATTTATTTTAACACCCACGTATGTATGTATGTATGTATGTATGTATGTATGTATGTATGTAAATAAAAAACAGGAGAGAAACTGGTTCTGTTTGCTCAGGTTCAACTTCCCATATTCACAGATTCTGAGTAGTAAACATTTATTCATTCAGCTACACCAGGAAACAAAACTGAAAACACACATTTACTTGATATAGTTGTTTTTTTTACAGTAATAAAAAGTGTATTGGTATACATGACAATTGAGTAACACAGCCATCAAATGAATGTGGCTTACAGTAAAAAAAAAAAAAGGCAACCAAAAAAGCTGAAAAGAAATTGAGAAATAAAAAAATTGTTTGCAAAATCATAGATTTGCAATGAGAAAAGAATTACTAATAATTCTATCTTTAGATAGTCATTACTCTCCCTAACCCAGATGTGCTATTGTTATAGCAAACTGTTCAGTTAAATACAATGGGAGAATAAGGGCTTGAAGTCAATCTAGGCATTTCTTCACCATTCCATACTAGTCCTTCCAAATATTTATTTGGAGGTTTTCTCCCTCCATTAACAATGCTGTTGCAATGGATGCAACTGGGGTTCTCCCCTCCAAGACTGTTATTTCTGGTTTGCAGTGCTGTTGTCACATCAGCAATAGAACCAATGAGTGGTTTAGCAATGAATAATTTTTCACTAGAACAAGCTTTGTTATTTTTAATCAAAACAACTAGGTTTTTGGGTAACTACAGACTGAAGAATTTCATTAAAAAGGTTAACTAGAATAGTTGCTTTCCAGACAGAAATCTTAAAGATGACTGAACCTTCTTGTGCACCAGTTCTGCCTTCAGCGCTTGTAAATCAGAAGTTGCTTGTTTTTTCATCTACAAAAGATCCAGAGATTACGATAGGAAGAATTAAATGACAACTATTATTTTATAGATAAGAGTCAACTTTTATGTGGTTTAAGAAGCACAATCTTGGTTTTCAAATTTTGTAGTCTAATCAGTTACAGTATGATGCATTCTGAAACATGTTAATGCCTCAGGTCATGGTGGATCTTAATATACATAAGACATCATGTTTGATTTGACGTAAATGGGAAATTGGCTAAAGAAACACTCAATTATAATTATAAAGAATTTGTGTTGTGTTGTATTGTGTTGTATTCTGGGAGATGACGTCCACACATCTTCAAGTTGCCACGGTTGAGAAACACTGTGGTAGATTGTATTACAGATTTCCAAAGCTCAGTCTTCTATTCATATCATTTTTGTATCTATGGCAAATGCCTAAAATAATTATTATGATTGTACACTAGCTTCAATGTGTAACCTACTAAAAAGGAGTACAGAGAAGAGCAACGAAGAACATTAGGGGACTGGAGGCTAAAACATATAAAGAATGGTTGCTGGAAGTAGGTATATCTAGTTTAATGAAGAGAAGGACTAGGGGTGACGTGATAGCAGTGTTCCAATATCTCGGGCTGCCACAAAGAAGAGGGAGTCAAGCTATTCTCCAAAGCGCCTGAAGGCAGGACAAGAAGCAATGGATGGAAACTAATCAAGGAGAGAAGCAACCTAGAACTAAGGGGAAATTTCTTGACAGTTAGAACAATTAATCAGTGGGATGGCCTGCCTCCAGAAGTTGTGGGTGCTCCACAAGAAGAGATTGGACAATCATCTGTCTGAAATGGTATAAGGTTTCCTGCCTGAGCAGGGGGTTGGACTAGAAGACCTCCAAAGTCCCTTCCAACTCTAATTCTGTTATTTTATAAGCAAATAAAACCTTCCAAAAAGTATGCTTTGTGAAGGATTTTCTGATACACAAGAAGGAGCAACAGCACTCATGCCTTTTGTTTATGATTTTAGCCTCCCATTGCTATATCTGCACAAAGGCAATGTGTAAGATCTTACTAATGTGTAAGGCGTTCTTGGCTGTGCTACCTCAGGAGGATGAGAATTGTAGGAGTCAGTTTGAGAAGAATTCAGTAATATGATTGGTTTGAATGACAGGACTATAAATGACAAAGGTCATTTGTTAACTGCCACTCATCTTTCTACTGAGAAATCTATAACAACTTTCCAAATCATAGTTTCAAAACCATAGTTTCAAAACCATTGTTTATTAACACGCAATTAGTGTAAAATTATTTGTTAATATATGACAATTATGTGCAAATATGCTCTGAATCTACTGTGCAGTATAAGTTTATCTACATATGAAAGATGTATTAAAATGGCTATTAATGGCATAATAACACTAGATGGGGCTATAGAGCAACAACAACAACAACAACAACACACACACACACACACACAAACAAAAATTTTATGCTGGGGCATGATAATACAGGCTCGCAGTATTAGATATACCATAGAAAAAGGAATTTCTCTTCTTTTGCACATTCAGCTTTCAGATTAATGGAATCCTTTAAATTAAGATAGTAATCTCCCCACGGCTTCCAATGTTGCAAAATTTTATCAGCAGGATTAATCAGAAATTTCAAAATCCTAATAACTGAAGGTTATAAGAACAGCATTGGTATTCCATGTTGCTGGAGCCTTATCTTCCATGCACTACTATAGTCTATAATGAGGTACAATATTTGTCTTTTCAAAGGGTCCTTATGGCTGGCATAGAGATACAGTACAGCTCATGTATAGACTGACCCTGGGACAAGAGGTTTTTAAAAGTTACTGTTGATGAATGAAACAGTGATACACAGGTGTCTACAGGCAATTTTCACCAGTATTTTTCCATGCCACAAAGCCATCTTCTAGTCTTAATATCTTTTAATTTTTCTTAGTCCTTTTATAAATTATCAGTGCAAGCCTATAAGTGGTATGTTCAACAGCAAACCACAGTTGATTCAATGTATGTACTTACGAAAGCAAATGTGGAATCAATTACTCCAAGCCACTGATAAAATGGAACTGATTTTCTGTATAGCTATATAGATAATTTACTGTTGTAATACTATTGTGTGGGTTTCTGAAACAAATAGCGTTAGATGAAACTGATTCTTCTGAGAACCAAAACAAAGTACCTGGTGTGGAACAGTGATAGGCACCTGCAGGAACATTGTTAAATGTAACCAAAGAAATGCACATCTGCACAGAGCCCAACACTTTGGTAACTGGTAACCAAAACAAACAAACAAGTAACCGTCCCCTCCCCAAACCGTAATTAAGATTTGTTGACTGGAGTGTGTACACTTTGGAAGTCAGCCCTCTATGCTTCATTCTCAAAATATGTTTCAAGAACTACTATTATTTTCCTTGATTTCCAATTGTGCAAGGCCAGTCTTGAAAAAAACCTTTGATTTGTTACTGGCCTCACTGACTATATGTGTATATGTACAAGTGCAAGGACACGTGTAATAAATTAGTACAGTACCTTAATTTCTATGACAAGCTTCATTTTGGCATTGTCTAGCTTTCTCTTTAGCTGGTCAATTTCCCGCTCCAGGGTTGTAATCTGGATTATTAGATTATTCTGTCAAACAACCCCCCCCCCAAAAAAAATTGATTTAGAATATAACGTCATATATAAACAATACACTCATTCTATATATATAATTGTTAGTAATATAATTTAAACTGATGCCTAGACACTTTCCTGAGTTTCTTTTTAAATATATTTTAAGTCTTTTAGCACTCTGAATACCTGTATGTCAGAGACCCCCAACCTTTTGGGCACCAGGGACCAATTCTGTGGAGAGAGGTTTTTCCGTGGAGCGGAGGGGGCATGTTTTCGTGTGCTACCTGCAGCCCCCGGATTGGGGCTTCTTTTGTTTGCATGGACCAGTTTCTGGCATGCTGCGGACCGGTGCTGGTCCATGGACCGGCATTGGAGACCCATGCTGAATGTCATCCTTCCTCAGAAGAATATAGTTACTATCTCCACATATTGTATCTCACATAAGATGATGGATTGACTATAGAGTAGAGCAATGCTTCCACTCATTGGCTGCAATAAATTAGGTCAGTATTTAAATGTTTGTTTTGCTATGGGCAGTCTAGATTTAGCTAGTTATAAATGGATTTGATTGTCTCTTGTGAAATTGTCATTATAAAAAAACGAGAATTTTCTTCAAAAAGAGAAAATGTAATCTTGCAAAAATAAGAGTGGCCCACGAATAATCTTACCACCACATTCTTGATCAGGTGTAGCTTCTAGGTTGCCTGAAACTGCCCCATGTAGAGTACATTATAACAATCCAACTAGGTGGTGATTACTAACCCTGGTGTCTTGGTCCAGATATGGATATAAAAGATGCTCCAGCCAAAGCTGGACAAATCCTGCCCACAGACTCTACTTTCTGTTTAAGGAGTAGCTGTAGTCCAGGCAGATCTCAAGTTGCACAACAACTTCTTTGTAGGCAGCACACCCTCAACTAGGATAATCCCCAAGATCAATGTTTCTAGAAATTTATTTATATTTAGCAATTTATCTAATTTGAATTTAGTTTGCGCCCTACAGATAGTATCTGGACGTCAATTTAAGCTTTCAACAACACCCCTGGCTTGACCTGGGGTGGCAATGTACAGTATCATCAGCATCCTGATGACAACTCACTACAAACCAATAAATGATGACCCCTCCCCAACTTCATATACCTGTTTTCCCGAAAATAAGACCAGGTCTTATTTTTCTTTTCCTCCAAAAGAGGCAGTTCTTATTTTAGGGGGATGTCTTACGCACCCGCCCAGCAGGTCCACTTCTTCTGCAATCAAAGGAGCAGCTTCATTCTGCAGCAGCATTCCGGCCTGCATTTTGCAGTCAGGCCTTTCCAGTCGAGTACTAAACTATGGATTCAATAGAGGTTTTGCAGAACTGAGCTATGGATCGAATCCATAGCTTAGTTCTTGGCTGCAGAGGCCTTCCAGAAAGGCCTGTGACTGAGAAATGCAAGATTAGCTGAGAAAACACCGCAGAAGAAATGGGCCAGGAAGGAGAGGGTTGGCTGCAAGGTAAGTGGGTGTGGGGTGTGTGGGGCAACTCCAACCCCCACCCCTGCCCTAGCTTGATTTTTAGGTGTGTGCCTCGCCCCAAAACTAGGGGTTAAAGTAGGGGTAGGGTTCAAAGTAGGCCCACCCCCAAAAATCAATCTAGGGCTTATTTTTGGGGTAGACCTTCCTTTCAGGGAAACATGGTAGTTATTAAATAGCATGGGAGAAAGCAGCCAATTCTGAGGTACCGCAGACTCAACCAAAGTCTTGAATGCTTCCTACTCCTAACCCTCACAGGCAATCCAGTAAAAGGCCACAATCAATGGTATTGAAGGCCATAGAGAAGGTCAACTGACTCAGGAGAGATACTTGCTTCATTGTCAGTTTTTGACAAGGTCATCATTGGTGTGCCATGACTGAGTCTGAATCTGGCAGGAGTCTAGATAATGTCTTTCCTACAAGAATCTTTGAAGCTGAGCCATCACATCTTTCTTAACAACTTTTCAAAAGCAAAGTTAATTTTAACTGTTTTTTAGTTATCGTACAGTGATTTATTGTTCTCTTATTTATTTGCCACATTCTCATGGTAGTGTTTCCTTTAAAAGTTATATTAATTCTGGTAAGTGTGTGCTTTAGATTTCAGTGACTGTTGTGTCTGTGACCTTAATATTTATTGAAGATATTCATCTTTGTTTTGGCCAAAGTTACACAAGCTTTGGCCAATTTCCTTGGATGCAAGATATAACAAATGTCTTTGGCAAGAACAACTGATGCCCTTTCTTCTTTTTGTTCCTCTCCACATTTATTTCCTTTGTCATCATTATTCTTTTCTCTTGTTTTTGTCTTGTTCTTTGTTTTTAAATGTTTTTAACAAATGCAAACTGCCCAGAGTTGTTGGGAGACAATGGCACATAAAATGAATAAATGCACTATATGAACTATAAATGAACTAATGAACTATGACATGCTAAAAATGATCCTAGTTCAAAATGATCCAGTGACCTTTGAGATGACTCTGTTGCTATTAGTACTTGAAGTCTTCTTAAACAATCCTCCTTTTTCCTAGTTATCACAGTCTAGAAACATATATATTAGATACAAGGAGACCACTGTATTATTTGACCTACTTAAGTTAAAGCTACAAAAGAGAAACAACAGACATAGATGTTTAAAACATAGCAATTACATTTAAAAAAATTAAATTTACAACATCATTGTTTTGTGAAACACTAGACACAAACTAATAAAAAAAATCAGAAAATTCTTCTCACATAGTGAGAGTTTCACTGCAATCTATGCTTCTTTTCCTGTTGTGATCAAAACAAAACTGAATGGCATTGACATATTTTATCCCTCACTCAGAGAACTTTGCTTCTTTACTAAAGAAACAGTAAAAGAATTACTGTTAATCTTAACTAAAACTTTAGAAAGTTCTACAGTTTAGTGAAGATATTGAATCCATCTGTAGGACTGAATAGACACCACAAAGTAGGTTTTCGATATCCTCCTTAGAGAAATATAAGGCATACAGCTGGATATATGAAATTGTGACTTAGCTGGAAAAAAAACTTAACAATAGGAGAAAGTGTACTAGGTGGAAAAAAATGATAGAACATTTCTTAAACTAATTAACCAAATTCTCTTGATATTAAGAGATCATGATTCATATGAGAAGTATTTAATTAATTTTAAACTTTATTCTCATGAATTTTATTGTTGAACTAGGAAGAAAAAGATCATAGGTATATCATGTTATAATAAGAGAACGAGGATTTAAATCATTTTAGCAACTTGTAACACTAATTCAACTCAAGAGAAAAGAATCTGCAAAGTATTCTTTGTTCTTGCCAATGGTACTTTCTTTTTATTAATTAGGATCGTGATATATTTATAATAATTTATGTTAAATCTTAATTAGACTATAAATATAGTCATTTTATAAGCTGAGTTTAATTTTTGCACAAATTTTGCTTTAGGCATTTTTCAAATATATTAGCAATCTGTTTAAAACTGTATGATCATTAAGATTCCAAGATTTGCTTTACTGATGGACAAAGCTTAGTTTTTATGGGCAAGGAAAGTTAAAAAAAAATTAATTACCTTTGAATTGGTGGTTTGTGTTAAATTATTTCTTTTTTTCTTGATATCTCTAGCTTCTAGCTGCCTCAATAATTTTTGGCGGTGTAGTTCTATATTTTCCTGCAATTTATTTAAAGCTTCCTCTGAGAAAACTGTGACTTTCTTCATTTCAAAATATTTTTTTTTCCAGGAATCACGGACTGCAAGATTGAAAAAAGGATTCCAGGCAGTTCAATAGCAGCTCAATAATTTATTCTAAATGAATGTACAGAGATCACAGCTAAAGGATCAGGGAAGTATATATTTGATTCAATAATGAAATGTTAAAAAATATATTTTTATAAAACTCAGACTTGATGTTGGACAGCATTAGCTTTTATAGTTGTTGGTCAATGAAAAAATTGGATGTATCAACCCAGAACATACCATGGCATCTCCTGAGTTTGTGCTGTTCAATCAGGTTTTTCACTTTTTTAACCAGTTCCTCTCTAGTGTTTTCCAGATGTCTTCTTTCTATCTTAATATGTTTCAGCTGCTTATGTAATTCATGGCCTGAGGAAGAAGAAATCCCATACTATCATATATGCAAAAGTTAATAATGAGAACAATTCTGAATAAAATTAAAGTAAAAATGTATCATTCTTCTATTGGTCAACACAGGGTTGATCCACTACAATAAAATAAAATGAAGTCAACCAAAGAATGATGTAAAAGTTGGTGTGAGCTTGAAGAGATAAATATCTGTGTATTTTCATTTGATGCAATTGTCTGGTATGTGGGATCTACATAAACAGATTTCAGTACTCAACAGATAATATGAAGGAACAACGATAGTGTCCAAAGCCCTGTATTCTATCAAGAATTTCTTTCCATACTTTGAATCATGAATTAAAGATGAAAAAAATCTATATACTGACTTCTGCAAGAACAAATGTGACAGAATACTGGAAAAGGTAAACTTTGTGATACTATTAGGTTAGATTAAAATTGGAGAATACCATATGTTGCATTATACATTGCAACAAAACTGATGATATCTATCCATAATAGAAGTTTAGTCAAACTCCAATAGGTATGGTTCCTTTATGTCAGCGGTTCTCAATCTTCGTGTGACGGCGACCCGTCACACGGATGTGCCACGCATGCATGGCGCGCACGCACTGCGGCGCCCCCATACGTGGCGCGCATGCGCTGCGGCACCCCATGCGTGGCGCGCATGCGCTGTGGCGCCCCCATGCGTGGCGCGCATGCGCTGTGGTGCCCCCATGCGTGGCGCGCATGCGCTGTGGTGCCCCCATGTGCGGTGTGCATGCGCGGCAGCGCCCCCTGAGGGGGAAAAATGGTGGATCGCGTTGTTTCGCGACCCCCATAAAATGGTCATTCGATCCCAAATGGGGTCACGACCCATAGGTTGAGAACCGCTGCTTTATGTACAACGTATTACATAGCAAGGCAAATTTAGACCTTTGAATTATAGTTTGTAGAACTTAAACAGAAGCTAGTCACAATCTTAAGTGTTCAGTGTAAAATATAGCTGTCTGAACTGTGATCAGCATTTGGGGACACAAGGGGAAGAATAGGGGAGAATACGTTACTAGTTACTCCTTTTATAATGTGTCTTTCCCTTTTAATTTTTAACAATAAAAATATTTTAAAACTAAAAACTTATGAAAAATCCATACACACACATACTAAATATATGTACTTCTATAGCTAAACTGTAAGCAAATAAAGACCTGAAAAGCACTTTTAAAAGATGCCTAAACTGATAATAATAATACCCTTAAAATGTCTCTTGCACAATCTCTCTGAAGAACATATTTTTATTTTTGAAAAAAAGTAACAGAAACTATGTAAGAGTCATTCCTAGAAACCTGTGCTAATCCTATATACATAATGAGCTGAATGTGAACATAAGGAATTCAAAATGCTATCCATTCACAATTACTGTTGGGCTTGGAGGAAAAAGAGGAGACAATAATCTTAAGGAGAAAAACTAACAATCCAGTTAATAGTGGTTGTTGTCAGTAGACGCAGAATGAGGCAGTTGGTGGGGTAAAGGAAGTGAGAATAAAGAAAAAAAAAACCTCAGTAGATGGAGTACATACAAAGTTTTCAATCCTGAATAGAAGTACTCCAAGTAACATGCTTTTTAGGGCAATTGTATGTGGATTGCAAAAGTCCAGAGTACCACAAGAGGGCAGCAAACTCTTTGTGATATAGTTATCAGAATTTTTACCTTCCAATATCCTGTCCATGGTAGACATGGAGATAGTGGCTAGACCAGTGATGGTGAACCTTTTAGAGACTGAGTGCCCAAACTGCAACCCAAAACCCACTTAAGCATCGTTGAGTGCCTGGTGGGTGTGGCCCATTGGGTGGGCGTCGCTGCGGTGGTAACGGCAGACTGGGTGGGACTAAAAAGTTCAATCAATCAATTCCAACTTTGCAAGATCTTTTTTTTTCCCCGCGAGAAGTTGAAATTGATTGATTGAACTTTTTTTTTTTTTTGCACACGGCAGCGGAGGCCTAAAGTGAAAAGGTTTTATAAAACCCAGCTGAAGGCCTAGGACTGAGGTGACGGCACGCATACCTACAGAGAGGGCTCTGAGTGCCGCCTCTGGCACCCGTGCCATAGGTTCGCCACCACTGGGCTAGACAAATTCTGTAGCTGAATAAAAATACCCATTTAGCCTTTTCCAGAAGTCATTTATACAAAAAGAAGGTATGAATTATGCTATCTGAATTATTGCCTTAAGAAAACTGCTGATAATCACAAAGGACCCTTTAGAGGCTTTTTGATTATGTTTAGGAGACATATGAAAACTCACCATTGCTTTTTTTGCCTTCAAGCAAACCTAATCTCCTTCTTAAAAGGCAAGAGGGCAAAATCCCTATGACCCCTGCTGCTGATACCTTTTGTCACACCCTTAACCTCATGAGAGGTCTTGGACAGATCTCCTCACCTTCTGTTGGAAAACCTTTGTGAGGAAGTTGAGCTCTATTTACTGAGACAGCCAGAAGAGGTGGAGTAGGAGGGGAAAGATAGTGACTAGGATATGCAGAGTCATTTAGGTTATTCCCATCAGCCTAGGATCAAATAAAAACGTGTCAGTGTTCATTGTTATTTTTAGGATATAAGAACTCTGGGGTGAAAAATTATACATGTAAAGCTGAAAACTCAAAAAAAGAAGAAGAAAAGAAAAGAAAAAAGAAAAGAAAAAAGAGGAGACCTTTTTGACAATCCTAACAGAACATGAGTCAAACCATAGGCGGCATTAGAAAATGACTTTGCCTGGGATGTCAAAATGTCTAGTGTGTAAGTATGTCTTGAGTTACAGCAAACGTTTACATTTTAAACATCTGTTAAATGTTAAGAATGCCTAATTTATTTTAGATTTCGAATGTAGTCCAAATGTGGCAGAACACTGGAAAAGGTAAACTTTGTGATGCTATTAGGTTAGATTAAAATTGGAGAATACCGTATGTTGCATTATACATTGCAACAAAACTGATGATATCTATCCATAATAGAAGTTTAGTCAAACTCAAATAGGTATGGTTCCTTTATGTACAACATATTACATAACAAGGCAAATTTAGACCTTTGAATTATAGTTTGTAGAACTTAAACAGAAGCTAGCCACAATCTTAAGTGTTCAGTGTAAAATATAGCTGTCTGAACTGTGATCAGCATTTGGGGAAGAATAGGGGAGAATATGTTACTAGTTACTCCTTTTATAATGTGTCTTTCCCTTTTAATTTTTAACAATAAAAATGTTTAAAAACTAAAAACTTATGAAAAATCCATACACAAACCTACTAAATATATGTACTTCTGTAGCTAAACTGTAAGCAAAGTAATAAAGACCTGAAAAGCACTTTTAAAGGATGCCTAAACTGATAATAATAATACCCTTAAAATGTCTCTTGCACAATCTCTCTGAAGAACGTATTTTTATTTTTGAAAAAAAAGTAACAGAAACTCTATGTCCTATTTTAAAAACATTGCTTTCAAATTAGTTCAGAAACTGACTAGATACAGTATGAAATGATTAAACACAAGAGTTATATGTAATTGCAGCAAATCTTAATGAATCTTAGTAGACAAAATTCATTCAACCCAAGTGACAGAAATGTGTTAACGAACCATTTTAACCAACTCAGTTGTAGTGCTAGACTTCTCTGGGAACATACCTGATTGTTCTGCACATTACCAGGGTCAGCAGCAGTCTTGGTAATTCCAGCATGTTGTTGGCTAAAGATGAGATCAAAGGAACAGATACATTAGAAAGAAATCTCTGATTAAACCTGTTGGGGTTGCAAGTTGCTTTGATTGAGTTATTAATCTGAAAAATAAGATACTGAAATCAGACTGAAAGAGCTTTTTGGTGACAAACTGGATTAAGAGCAAGTATTCCTAGGCCTCACTAACCTCACACACAGGAAATTAAGCTAGATGAACTAGTTCTCATGTTTAATTATGTTTATCTGAAAGCTAATTAAAGAGCTAGCTTTTTCCATTATTCAATATGTTAGAAGTTCTTAATGTGACTTCAATGACTGACACTGACAGCATATATATTTCTTTACCTCCTCTTCTTGGGTGAGTATGTCATGTCTCGGTCTTCCAAGGATTTTGGGATTCCAAAATCAGCAGTAGTGGTACACTTTCCATTTTCAACTCCTGTTAAATTCCCTCCATTTTCCATATTTGTGTCCAACATGAGAGAAACCTCTTCTGCATCAAAGGTCAAAATATTATCTGTCTCTACATGAATGTGTATGCATATATACAAATATATGTCAACTGCCAATAGCCTTAATACAGAGCAAAACTGTATTACAGAGCAAAACTGTGACTACTTTTTGGTAGTCTTCAAAACAAAATTACTTCCAATATTTTGAATAAATGAGAGTTCTCCAAGTTCCACATATTTTCTGAATTTGGAAGCTTTTGCAGATATAGTTCTCATCAGATACATGCTATCCACATCTGGATTGGAAAGATCACAAATATACTGTGGTGTTATATACTCCCTTCCTAATTATATCAATTGTCTTATAGTTCTCTGTTACTCTAGAGTCTAGCCTTAGTTTGTTATAACTCAAACCAGACAGCTCTGGTTAGATTTAAACCCCAAACTACTGACACCATTCCACTTCAAAACACAATATCAACTCACAGACTGAAAATTAAATGTAATCATATTTTTGCTCTGTTTTGATATTACTGCAAGCAATTAAACTGGCATTTAAAATTAGAGAGCAAAGTTGGAGAAGGAAGAAAGGAAGGAAGGAAGGAAGGAAGGAAGGAAGGAAGGAAGGAAGGAAGGAAGGAAGGAAGGAAGGAAGGAAGGAAGGAAGGAAGGAAGGAAAGCATTCACTTGTGGCTATTTCCAGTCCTCCAAGCAGCATTGCTTTTGATAAAATGTGGTATTTAACAGGAATTTTACAAGAGAACTAGAGTAACTTGTGTAAGACAAAATTCTGAGATAAAGAAGTGTTAAAAACAACCAGAGAAAGCATGTAATATGTTTTAATAAAAAGAGTCCAGATCTGCAGCACAGAAGGAGGCAACAACCAGGAATTGGGATGCTGGCTGAATCTAAGCTATAAATTTACTATTTCCTGGATTGCATTTTCCTCATTTTTTTATACCACTGTCATCTACAGAATCTATTTTTTCAATTACATCAAGAGCAGAAATTGTCATTTCAATTTTCTAACTTGGTCCCATTTTAAGGTCACCTAAGTATGTTTCCAGTAAAGCTATCCTCGTATAAAACTTAGATCAGTGATGGCGAACCTTTTAGAGACCGAGTGCCCAAAAACTGGCCCTGCTCCGCTGCACCTCCCTGCTCTGCCCCCCATCCCCCACCCTGACCACCCACAGGACCACTCACCACCTCCAGGGCCTGCCGATCGCCCAGGCAGCCCAGCAGTGCTATGCTGGCCACACCCTCTGCCCACATCCTGCAGCATCAACTGCATGATGCGGCATGAGGACAGAGTCTTATCTACGCTGCCTGGCTGCCATATCCTTGGCTGCGCTGCTCCATGTGGGCCATGCTCGAGGGCGACTCTCCTTCAGGGGGGCTGCTGGAGAAGAGGGGGTCGCGGGAGGAGGCAAGGCTGGGGCAATGGCACATGTGCCCACAGAGAGGATTCCGAATGCCGCCTCTGGCACCCGTGCCATAGGTTCACCACCACTGACCTAGATCCATTCATTCAAAGAATTTATTTCTCATCAACAAGTAATAAAATGTTCTTCCACTTCTCTATCATCAGGTCTTAGAAATGCCAGATTCTTACAAAAAATGTAAATTAGGACGAGAACAGAGAAAGTTGTAATTGAATACATTCTTTTTTAAAAAAAAATTATTTTCCATTTATCCAACATAATTATACAACAAAATTCACTTCGCAAAATAAAATAAATTCACAATCATAACCATAACCATAGGTGCCGCTTGCTCCCTCCCCCCAAGCTGCATCCACCCTCCCTAATACCTTCCTTACTTCCCTCATCTTTCTCTCCTCCCCTCACTACTCTCTTCCCCTCCCCTTCTCCTCTTACCATCCTACTTCCTCCCTTCACCTTCCTCCCTTCATATCCCTCTCGAAGCAGCACCTCTCTCATAAGTTACCCTATCTATATTATCTACCTATTTAGCCACCCACCCACTCACCCACCCTCCCACCCTCAACCCCCCCCCCTCACTTCCCAGAGCAGAGTACAGGGTTATTAATAACAAAATTAACAATATACAGTAAAAAAGAAAAAAGAAAAGAATGAAAGAAAGAAAGAAAGAAAAATCATACTTAGCCCTTAACTCCCCTTAAATTATATCATCATAAACAAATCTCTTATAAAACATTTACTATAAGATTTACTCATAAAATAAATGAAACTTTATAGTCCCATACTTCTTCTGAATATAATCTATCCATCTTCTCCATACAATAATATATCTTTCTTGTGTATGATCCTTTAAATAAGCAGACATTTTTGCCATTTCTGCTAAATTAGAAACTTTAAATATCCATTTTTCTAAAGTAGGCAACAAAACTTTCTTCCAATATAAACCTACTAATAACCTTGCTGCAGTTAATAAATTCAACATTAAAATAGTTTCTTTATCATCTAAATCCACAAAAATACCCAATAAAAATAATTGAGGAGTAAACTTTATCTTCCTTTTAAAAATCTTTTGAATGTTCCACCAAATCATAATCCAAAAAGCCTTTACAATTCCACCAAACGTGAAAATAAGTTGCATCTGTATTACCACACCTCCAACATTTGGGTTGTAAGTTAGAATACATACTTTCAAGATAATTGTTCAGGATCTAAATGCCACCTATAAAACATTTTATAAAAATTTTCCCTTCAATTTTGAGCTTGTGTAAATTTAACATTTCTAATCCAGATTATCTCCCATAAATCCAATGGGATCGGTTCCTGGATATTCTGAGCCCATTTAATCATACAATCTTTAACCAATTCTGTTTCCGAATCTAATTCTATTAAAACATTATAAATTGAATACATTCTTTACATTGCTAATTGCAGATACAAATGCAAATAAAACTTATACACAATACTTCATGCAACAAGGTATACCTTTTGGCTTCTGTGAGATGGGACTTAATGGAAACTGGTTGTTTTCCTCCTTTTCATTGTTTTGATCTATCTTTGGAGATGTGACTGTCTTTCTGTAATTTTCATCCTTTCCTGGAATATTATGGCTTTCTGGGGTTGGGCTGAAAGTTTTTTTCTGATACATTTTCACTGGTGCTGATTTCTTTGCAGGGTGCTGTTTTGAGGATGGAACAGATTCTGTTTTGTTGATGTTACAACTGATTTTGCCTTAAAATGACACAATGATATATTAATAAACATAAATTGACATTAGACAGTGTTGTAAACTTCAGACTGCTGTATAATATAAGACCAGATCATTTTGATTGTATTACATGAAACCACTTTTTCCTTTCTAATATAGAAAGTATATACACATTTATATTTATTTATAATTTAAAGACATGATATTAATAAAATATAAGACAAATCGCTTAAATATCCTATTTTCTAGAATATATGAGAAAGATAAAACAATCAGATCAGATTAACAAACAAATATATTTACAAATATATGTATATGTTTATTTCTCTTGTCACGTTCTCATCATACACTGTAAAATAGACAGACAAAAAAGACTAAAATGTAAGTGAATCCAAGAAGCTTACAGTATGTAACATGGCAGAGATATCGCACACAGCCATAAATTATTATAAATTATATTAACGTAAGGCAATCCAAAAGTTCCATTGCTCAATGATTGACGTGTTGCTAGTTTCCAGGAGCACATCTTAATCAATTATCTCTGTGATATAAATGCAATACAGAAGTGGAATTTTTGGAATTGAAACCAAAGAAAGCAAAACAGGAAATATTGCTGTAGATTTAATAGCAAAACTAGATATATCTTGTTTGAAAAAATACGATGACTCTTCCTCCCATTAGTGCAAAACAACATTACCTTATTTATAATTTGACTTTGATAGGATTCTATTTAAATTCCAAAGTCTCACCTTTCCTTTGTTGTGAACTACTTTTTCCTTGAATACTTTCATTCTTTGGTTGCTCAGAACTTTGCTTTTTATGTAGAACTGGAATAGTTTCCTTTTCATTCCACTCACCAAAACCAGCTTTTTCCTGAGTCTGACTGAGATTATTTTTGAAGGAGCTATCTAACATTGTTGAGTTTTGATAAATATCAGGATTGGGAGAAATTAAACTATGTGGTCTTTCATATGATGCAGATGTAAGCACATATTCTGGATTATTATGGTGTTTCTCTGGAGTGGATGACAAAGATGAATAAATACTTTCTATTCCTGGTAACAAATAAAGTTCTGGATGAAATGCCTGCAATATGGAACATGATAGAAAATAAACTAAGAACTAAAAAATTTAGCTTTGTTCTTAAAATTGAAATAATTATAATATACTGTACATACATACGGAGGAGCAAATGATTTGAGCTTCAGTTCCATCTCTTGCTTTGTTTTCACCTTGGAACATTACAACAAAGGCAATATTATCAAAATGCTTCCAAAGGTGTCCCATCACCTTTATTTATAGAAAGTTGGCAAAGTTCCAATTTTACATGAATAAAAAATACAATTTTGCCTCATTCTCCTGTAAAACTCCAAAAATTTACCAGGAACAAGGGTTGGAAGACCTAGTAGACATCTTTTCTTCTCCAGTAAATAATGTCCCAGTCATAAAACATTACTTTGTTTTAAATGTCATATTCAAGAGCTAGCACAAAATCATAGATCATTGTAAAAGATACTTGTATAAGATTTTCTTTGTTTAAAAAGACTTTTTAGCGTTATTCCATTATTTTATTGATTTTTAATTTTAGTTTTCACATTTTATTTTTCTCAATGCGATTGTTTAATGCACTGATTTATGTAACCTTCATCCCCCTTTTTTTAATAAAAAGCATTTCATCAAGCTTGTTAAAAGAAAAAAAAATACCTTGGAAAACCTTAAAGCCCAGTATATGTTTTTTTATACTGATTTAATTACAGAGTTGCTTTTCAAATCTTATGCAGTACTTTCAACATTCTCAAAGGGATGCTTATATTTATAAAAGCCTGATTTGAAATGTATAAAAATAAACGAAACCTGCAGAGGAACTCTAAGGCATGTGTTTTCAGCAAATTATAATTTGCAAATTGGGAGCTTATCTTTGGAATCTACAAAATGTCTGCTCCCCACTCTTTGCCCTCCTCTTGTACGAGTTTTTCCTATATAGGGATTTTGCTATAGGATGCTTAAATAATCTTTCAGCCTCTCTCATGGTACTTATGGAAGTGTTCACTATTTATAGAAAAGCAGCACTTTAAATGGGAACAAACCTGTAGGTCACTTAGGTTTTTCATTTCCTCTGCAGACTAGTTAGAACATCTTAACTGATGAAATGCTCCTGGAGTTATATTATGAACTTTATAGAATTTTAGTATGTAAGTTTTACATAGTACATACACAGATATTGTATTATTAGTTTTGTTCTCAAGTGAGATTCTTGATTATATTGTATATGTTGGCAATCCTATAGGACAATCAGCAAGAAACATGAAATACTTACCACCACAAGTTTCTCTCCAATACATTTTAGAAAGACATACTTATCTACAACTGCTTCTTCACCTAGGTACTCTCCGAGGTTTTCTCTTAATATTTTCAATGTCATATGAGGTGACACCCTAGAACGTCAGATGTTATTGCTGCATTTAATATGGAGTATAAGATAATGCTCATACTGTACAGCATTTAGTTTTAGAGAGGTGGGAATATAAAGGAAATAAAACATACATAGAACACACCTGAATGTTAGAATTGAGATATTAACCCCGATAAAGGAACTAGAACTTTTAGCAGCATTCAAGATTGCAGTGCAATTTTATTAAGTCTTATTCACTTTTATATAGAAATAATGAAAAGAAAATCTAAAATATAAAGTAATGTAGGTACAACACTCTTTGGATGTGTACCTGTTTGCTTACAGCTATCACTGACCCTCTTACGATTAAATTGACACAGTAAGGTCTCTGTGGTTTGATGTGATGAGATAGAAAGCCAGTTTGGTGTAGTGCTTAAAGTGCTGACTTAGAAACCAGGAAGCTGTGAGTTCTAGGCTGCCTTGGGCACAAAGCTGGCTGAGTACAGTAACTTTGGGCCATTCTTCTCTCTATCAGCCCAAGTCACTTCACAAGGTTGTCGTGGGGAAAATAGAGGCAGAGGTACTAGGTCTGCTTGTTGCCTTGAGTTATATATAAAAAAGGCAGGATAAAAAGTATTAATAATAAAAAGCATGAAGCTTTACATTTCATGAATCATGCTTATTGCCATAGCCTGAATCAAAATTAAAAAATAAGTTTTGTTTTCCTATAAATTCAGTTAAAAGCTTAAATGTTTCTATTTACAAAACAAGTATATAAAAAAAATCCTTTTATACATGATAATCTCGTCAAATGTCTACCTATGGATTAATTATTGATCCTTACATTATTTTTCATACACCTCTATGACTATTGTGGATTTCCTAATGTAGAATTTTCTAAAAATTGATTATAACAAAAGGAAATGGCAGAAGTATGAAATACGACTCTTTATTCCCAATGATTCATTCAGGTTATATGGGAGAGCAATCGTACCATTCGGGAAGGGAGCTCAAGTGGGGAATTAATCTGGACTTTACCATTAGGTAAACTCAAGAGGGCAAGGTCTGACCCCCTCTGAATGGCCTTCAGTCCTGGCTGGAGGAGAATTATGAATAATTTAGATGATGCTGTTAATTTCACTTTTAAATAGCATCAGTACTAAAATTTCTGGTATTCTCAGTAATTTTGTAAACAATTACATCAATATTTACCTTTTTATATTCTATGCACTATATTATAATTAATGATGCAGGAATGAATCACGTAAGAATGATATTCAGTGGTTCTGATCTACAAATCAATAACTGCTAAAAATGACTAGAATCTTGGAATAATAAATACATGTGTGCAAATTCCGAACGTAGTACAATTATTAATTTAATTGAGGATAGCCGCAAGTTGGGGGTTAATTTTAGCTCTTGTCTTCAGTGGGATTGGCTGCATTTCCATACTGAGAGGTGGACACGAGACAATATAAAGTGGTACAAATGTTCTTAGTTGCCGTGTACATAAAGCATACAAAATTTTCTCATACTCTTGTATAATTAGGAAACTGTTAGAAACTGGTGTCCTTGGTAAGCAACTTATGCTCCTTTTTCTTTGTGGAAATGTTTAAACTGTGTCAATGCAAACTAGTTTTATAAATGGTATATTATAGAAATGGTCACACTGTTCAAGTGAAATATAATATTTATTCAATATCAGAACATTCCACCACTATGAAAATATTTCTATCTCTCCAAAAATATTGATTTGATGTGCTAATTTCTCTGCATAGGAATTATCAAAGCATAAATTACAAAGAAAAGAGCAATAATTCAAAAATAATGCCATGAAAATAAAGTCTCCCTAGTTACATAAAGCTGCATTATAAATTACAACATCCTTCCATTTTTTCCCCACAAGCAATGACTAAAATGAACGAAGAGTTTGCTTGCCTTCCTTATTTTCCATTCCATTCAAAATTTATTTCTCTATGAAAGAAGATACAAGACGCATGAATGTTTCCCGTATAGAGAAAAACAATTTGCATGAGAGTTTCAGCGTGGAGATCAAAGTGTCCTTTTTGCCAGTTTCTTTGCTCATGATTTCAAATTATCATAGCAGTTTTTGTTTTTTTCTAAAGAAGTTAGAAGATTCATAGAAATTCCTTATCAAATGTTTAATCTTTGGAGAGCTGTAACTTTTGTGTAGGTATTTTAATCAACTGCTAAATAGTTACAAGAAATGCTCAATATTAAGGCAAGCCTATTTATTTATTTGATTTTTATCCTGCCTTTTTTTTTATACGCAAGCATACCTAATACCTCTGCTTCTATTTTCCCTACAATCTTGTGAAGTGGGTTGGGCTGAGAGAGTAGTGACAGGCTGAAAGTCACCCATTATTATTATTTTATTATATCTCACCTTATAAATCCAGCTGAAAAGAATTTGCTAATAACTTCTATAGAAACTGTATTCAACTTGAAATTCCATACTTCTTCAGGAACATAAAATACATGCAGCTCTAAAAGCTAAAAATATGTAAAAAGAAACTGTTTAGCATTCAGCATAGCCAATTTTAATAATGGAGATAATATCTGACAATATATGGTAATGATTTGTTCTTAAGCAAAATGATGAAACTATGGTATATCATGCCATAAATGGACATATAATTTTCGAACTTAATGTTTAAATATTTCTCTCAGCTCAAAATTGCATGCAAAAATGAATACTTTTGACAAGTTGCATATAAAAAGTAAAACTTGTAAAAAGGGATTAATTGTAGAAATTGTATACAAAGATATTGGGTGACAGCAAATAAAATATTCTGACAGAGATAAATACTGATTGTGTACAAGCTGACAAATGAAAATATGGGCCACCTGATACTGCTGTGGCCAATATGGAACTGGAATCACTTGCATTCATTTTGACTTGGATGGATGCAGTGGTGAGATTCAAATAATTTAACAACCGGTTTCTTGCAGGGGGGGGCACTTCCACAAGGCAGCTACCCTATGCTCCCTGCTTACCGTGCCAAAGAGCCCCCACAGCCAGGCCTACCATGCGCCGACACCTGTCACGCCTCCCCTGTTCAGTAGTGACTTCTTCCACTTTCTCCTTCTTCCTCCTCCTTTGAACACTCCTTCACTCCCATTGCTGCTTCTTCAGTCCCAGTTCTCGGTTTGTCCGAAGCCTGTGTAGGGGGTCTTTGGAAACGAAGCTCTGCAGTGATTGGGTGGGGTGGGAACATTCCTTTCACTTTTGGACGGGCTCCGAAATGGGCTGGAAGGAGCGGCCCGAAGATGCCAATTTACTTTGCAGCAAGCAAGTTGATTGGAATGCACGCCAGTCTGGCGTCTCAAAACATCAGGGTTTTTTTCCCCGCTGCCGGATTTTCACTGCCATACTGTTTAAGTTTCTTTAAAGATTATTTAATGGAGAATGCGGATCCCTCCTGCATTCCCCTGCCGTAGCTCATAAACCAACTAAAGCTCTCCAATATATCTTAAGTAAACCAAAAGATCCGGTAGCCCAAGAAGAAAAAACAGAAGTCGTTTACAACATACAGTGTAAGGACTGTAACAGCCATTATATAGGACAGACAGGGAGAACGTCAGCATAGCACATCTATAAATATCAAATAACACTCAGAAGGCACACTGAAAAGTTGTTAATTTTTCAACACCTGGACAGATTCAGCTACAATTTCAAGCCAAATCCAAAAATGCTAGAGAATTCCTGGAAGCTTGGCACTGAGACAAATAAGCCATCAATAGACACATAAGATGAACTACATTTATATGTCATTCAATAGATAACAACAAAAAGCAAAGGAAAGCGAAGGAAAGAAAAAAGACCAAAACACATGCCCTCCAGGGACCACACCCAGATAAGCAGGGATTACTGGACAAACAAGCAAACAAAAATAAAAACCCTTAATCAAGGAATTACCAAGGAAAAAACCCACATGCCCACCAAAGCTGATAGGGCAAACTAGTATACCGGTATATAAACAGGGAGGAAACCTTCCATTCACTAGCACTGATGTTGTCACCTTATTGCTTAATGAAATGTCTGCAATAACTAGGCTCAGAGACCACTAGAGATATGTCTGGTTTTTTTTTAATCCCTCCTCGAGCTCTATTAAGTTGGATCATTCCTAGCCATTGTCCCCATATTCCATTTTGGGACAAAATCCTGTGATTTTGCTGATATTCTAGGTCAGTGGTGGCGAACCTATGGCACGCGTGCCAGAGGCGGTACTCAGAGCCCTCTCTGTGGGCACACGTGCTATGCCCCGTGATGGCAACCATCCCTCTTCAAGCAGCCACCCGTTAACTCGCCGAGGTCCCACATGGCCGGATGCATCCCAGCCACGGCTGGTTTCCCTCCCCCCCCCGTCCCGTCCCTCCTGGCCTCGCATGCTCTCTTTTTCCAGGGCATGACCCACTGCATCACCTCCTCAGCTGTTGGCCGGTTGTTGAGCTCAGAGGCGGCTTCTCTGAACTGCTGGCAGCGGGCTGCGGAGCCCCAGAGTGCGCCGGTTGAGGAGCCGGCAAGCTGTGGCTGCTGATGGACACCATCGGTCCCCTTGCGCTCGCTGGCCTCTGTGTGTGTGGGCTGATGGTGTCAGACAGCAGCCGCCATGGCCCCTACCTTGCCTTGCCCTGCAACAATGGCACCATTGCCCTGCCTCGCCTCCCCTCACCACGCAGGACAAGCCTCCTGCCCACTGCCCCACCCACGAGATCCCCTGGATCTCCCCCAACCCTGTCCAGCCCCCACAGGAGTCCCTGCCCATGAGGAATATTGAGGTGACCATGCCCACCTTGGCCACACCCACCCATTCTGCCATGACCACCACAGCCACGCCCACCCAGTGGGCCACGCCCACCTGGCACCCAGCGATAAATAAATGGGTTTTGGGTTGTAGTTTGGGCACTCAGTCTCTAAAAGGTTCACCATCACTGTTCTAGGTCCAGTTTAATATTTCTGGATTATACCAATTGTGTACCTAAATTCAATCTGTTTTGGATTTGGCTGGAGGATAGAGACAGCTTTTGTCTCATGCCAGAAACATGACAAGGAGAAAGCATCCCAGCTGGTTCTGATTGATTTCTTAACAACTTTCTTAATGGTATAAAGTTCCACAGGTGTAGAGAATAAAAAACTATTAATAATTGACAATTAGTTTATTTTATCCTTCAGGTTTTCTAGGTACAAACTGTGCAAGGCTTTCAACTTCAGAACCACTATTTTTCATGTAGCTTCTTACCATCAATCAAAATGCTGACTTAAAAGCAATGCTTATATACTCCTGAAGCTGTAGAAGCAATTACTAATAACTGCTACATTTTGATCTAGCTGAAATTTCAGAATTGTCTCTATGGCAGACATATGTACATCACACAGTAGACCAAATGAGACTGGACTGCATCCCATTCCTAATGAAGTGATACCACTGTCATCCGATCAGATGTGATTATATCCCTGTAAAGGAGGTGCAGATCTTCCTGAGATAAATCATTCCTAAATATGCTTTTTGTTGTTTAAGCAAATTATCATCACTGAACTATTTTCGTATCATTCAGAAGATGACACAGGGAAAGAGATAGAAACACCACTCTTCCATTCATTCAATCCTTTAAAAATACCGTATGTATTTTCCTTAGACTTGAAACTGGTATCACTAGAAATGTTATTGCCTGTATTTCGGTCCATTATCAAGGATAGGAAATCTGTGGTCAAGTTGTTGATGAACACCAACTTTAAAAATCCATCCACTGATCCTACTAGCAGAGTACTGCAAACTGTAGATCAATCATATTAGAACAATCATACAACCCCTATGCCTTATCTAGGTGTTATTTTTATTGCATAATTTCTTTACTTAAATTAGGAAAACACAGATTTGACATTGCAGAGAAGCTATTCCTCTTTTTAGTATGCATATTTGTATTATACTTACTGCTACTACTGCTGGTTCAGATCCAGCAATTTAGGGCAACTGCTCACAGTGCGGTACTAGAGAACCTGACACTTATGACATTCTGTTTCTAATATCTTTTTGTCTCTATTAGTCAAAGAGCATTGGAATCATTCCTGCATGTAGTTAGTAGCAGGTGCAACCATATTAATTGAATTGTTTCTGATTGCAGGACCATGACCCTGTGCTTAAAAGTTAAAATGGTGCCAAATAAAAGAACAGCTATGAAACCAATTGTTCTTGCAATCTGGAGGGAAGAGAATTATGGTAATCACCTGATTAAAAACTGTATAATCTTGATCACTGCCTATATCTGTAATCAGCATAACTAAATACTAATAATAATGTTTTCAAATATTAGTTATTATAGTTTATATTTAACCTATGTGTAATTCCATTTTTGAAAGATCTAACAAGTTTCTTTATATACCGGTATTTCTATTCTTATCAACCAACAACAGAAAATATTACAGTATAGCATACATAAAATTTATCAATGGTTATTACAATCCATTATTTCTTACCTCTGAAGTGCGTGGTCTGTTTTGATTGGACAGCATATTCCTTGATGTCATTTCTGATTTATGTGGAAGTCTGGAATTGTTTTTTAAATCACATATTGAATTCCAAGTATTATTTAACACGATCAAGATAACTCCTATAGGTATTTATGTTGCAATATTCCATATTTTAGAATTGTTTCCATATCCTGCAAATTTGGATATAAAACAGGGATAGCTTCAGGGCAGAAACTTTTGTTTATTGTTAACTGAAAGGAGCCAAGCATTTGCTAATACAGGAGCTGAACCACCTTTGAGGTGACCACTCCCTCTGTGTAAGTAAAATCACCTTAGCAACACAATGAAGTACCTAGCCAGGATTGTGCACCTGCGATTTGCTGCAGTAATCCAAGTCTGCTTTACTTGTATTGCTTACATCAAGGTCCCTGTTTCAACAACTGTTCCATAATCTGGGCAGTGCAATTTAGGGAATGAAAAGCCTTGATCAGAACTCCATATAAATATTTACTCAGTACTATGAAGAATTAAGAGTCTTACTGCTTGTTTTCTGTTCTTTCTCTTCAATAACAGCAGTAATTATATCTGCTTTAATTCAATTGACTAAAATGGACCTTATAGCTTCCTTAAAATATATACTTGACTAGACAGGAATGAATACCAACCAATCTTAAACACAATATTCTGGTTCATTCAGCAGGCTCGGCGTGTATTTGTTTATTTAATACCCAACCAAATTCCTACAGAATTCTTAACAGATTTCAGGAATACAATAACAATTAAAATATCATGGTCAGCACCCAAATGCATGCATACACATATTACTAAAACACATGCAGTACACCAAAATCACGAACACTCTCTGGAAGGGCTCTCTTTTCAACTTATTTGAGAAAGCAGTTTGGGTAGGAACTAAACTAATTAAGATAGGACATTCTAATCTAGAGAACTGGTGCTGTTACTGGGAAAATTACAGTGGCAACTCAAAGTCCAGTCTCCCTCATCACGAAAATAGGACTCTACCAGCTGTTTATCCAGCAAGACTGAATTAATGAGGACAATTCTAGTGGGCAAATGCTGTCCTGAAAAATAACTTGGTGCTAAGCCCTGGGCCTTACAGGTTAAAACCAGCGCTTTGAATTAGAAGCCTATGGGGGAAACTAGTGCAGGATTCAAAGTGAAGGTGTAATATATTTTATTGTAGAGTCACCAAACCAACCTTTCCTCTCTTATCACCAAGTAAAACCATTCATTGAAGGAGCAGAACCACTGCAAAAAGGTACCACCAATTCTCAATTACCGTAGTCCGTCAAGAAGTGTACCAAGGTCATTGATAATGAAGGCCACTGAAAGATCTCTAAAAGAACTAAGAGAGGCATATTATCCCACCCAGGTCCCAACAATTATGTACTGGGTACACTATACTATCTGTCCCATGCCCTGATTGACATGGGTCCAGAAAATCTGCTTCATTGCAGTTGATTTGTCCTTATTGTCTCAAAAACCTTTGTTAGTAAAGAAGGTAAGAGACCAGGAAGTAGTTGTCTAACCTTTCTTGACCCAAAAAAATCTCTTTTAATGAGGGAATGTACCAAAGGCTCTTTTAAAACTATCAGCAGTGGATTCTCCTCAATAAGGTGCTATCAATTTCCCAATCTATTGACACAATATACATCTTGTCACACACAAAAAAAATCTTCATTTTAAAATTTCAATTTAGGGTAGCAGAAATGTTTTATTAATACAATTGTTAAATATTTCTGTTATTGCCATTTTTGTCAGTTAAATAATTGTTGAGTCATTTGTTTTCCATCAGTAAATCCAGAGATGTATTACTTGGTACCAGGAGGAATAGTACAGTACCAGGAAGAACTTAATTCCAGCAAGTGAGGCTATTGTTAAAACTGCCACCTAATCTTAAATGTCTGAGATAAAAAAAAGTGCACAATTAAGACTAGGTGTTTACTTTCACATAAATATACACTAGGCACTGGAAGTGAAATAAGTCATAAAGTAGTGTTAAGCCTTGGCATTCATTAATTTTTAAACTGAAAATGGTAAAAGTTTTCCACTAAAACAAAAAAAGTGTGCTGATTGAACAGAGGGAAAAGCAAAAAATGAAGCTTATTTCTTGAAGTTGTTCCCTATTGAAGTATTTGTAGCAAAATCTTGGGCAGTCTTCACCGTGAAGGGATTGTGGTTTAGTAATGTCTGGTTTTGGCCCTAAGTGTTACAACGTGTAGAAAGATGTATGAGTCTCACTAGCTTGTTGCCTTTAAACTGCATCTCGATGACTTCCGAAAAGAGGCCAAACCTCTTCCTTTAAAAGCCAGTTTCCCAACTGTTCTCCCATTAGGGTAGTATGATGGTTTCCCACGCACAGGAAGTTGGCTTGTATCTTCGCTTCATTCTCCTCCCGCCCCCCAGAACCGTTGAAAGCGGCGGGAGACAAAAAAACTAGAGCTGTTTCGGGAGGGGAATTAAACGGAGAGGTTCCGTTTTACGGGGAAGCTCAACTTATGTGTGGCCCCGCTGCGATGGGTGGCAGGAAAAAAAGTGGCTCATTACACAGCGGGTCCGCCTCGCCTCTGGGTTAAAGTGTTAAAAGATTTAATAAACGTATTTCTGAACAGACTTCACACCGCAGGCCCGTTGGAAATATCAGTGTAGACCTTATATAAAACAATAGAAATTATTTGCAGTGGGAGAATTACCACCTTAACCTTGCATCTCCCCCGGCTGCGCAGACGTCTGTAGTTCTGAAAGGGGTGGGGGGGAGTTTACAACCAACCTACACACATGTACGCAGGAGTAGACTTTGCAAATTATCGCTGACGACCTGAGGGTGCTTGGAATTTCCAATCCTAAATCTCGAACTTTTGCACTGTATCGAGACGAGCTTTCCCACTTTTCTCAGCCCCAAATCCAGCGCTGGATCGCACAGACAAAACTAGCCTTTGTGCGACCTATTGGCTAGCAGATGTTACATCCAGCTGTTTGTTTGCACTGGCAAAAGAGGGGCCGAGGAGTGAAACCATGAACACACAACGCTTAAATATATAGTGCTGCTTAAACATTAACGAACTACAGAGTCTCGCCCTCACGCACCAACACTTGCGCGATAACGAACATAACGAAGAAAGCCGACTCCGTGCAGTTTTTTTTTTTCAGCAGTTACGTCCCCCAACTATTGTGGCAATACAAAGCCTGCCTTCCTGACCGATGATGCATGGGCGACGCTCCAAGTGACTTAGCGAGGAAACTTGAAGAAAGTTCGTTGTGCGGCTGCCCCCACCAGCACTAAAAGACAAGACTCCTCTCCTTTTCTGCCGCTCGAGATGGGACTTGAAGCCCCGCCCGCACAGCTTCTCAAAACTAATTTCCAACCGGCAACTTCGACTTCCGCTTCGGGGAAGCGCCAGGCCGAGTTTGCGCAGGGAGCCCGCCAGCGCGCGCTGTTGCGCACGAGTCTCCCCCTTGAGAGTCTATAGGCGGGGGAGTTTTCCAAGCGGCGGAAACTTGTCCGAAAGTTCCGAGAAGCCCCCCCCGGCCCCCCCGCGACCTGCCCGTTGCCAGCAGCGGCGTTTTTACGGGTTTCGCGCGGAGTGAAGTTGAGTGAGTGAGGGGGCCATGTCCGGCTCCTCCAACGTCGCCGCTATGAAGAAGGTGGTGCAACAGCTGCGGCTCGAGGCCAGCGTGAGCCGCGTGAAGGTGAGCCCCGGAGTGGGGCGGAGACCAGGCCGCCCGTCCGTCGGAGCGCCTCGGCCGCCATTTGCGCACCTCAGGGGAGAAGGCTGCGTGGGCGCTCAGATGCGGAGCCGCCTCGGAGTCTTTCTCGGGCCTGAGGAAGAGTGCCCCGGGGGCCTGTACAGAATGCTTTTCTTTTAAAGTACTTCTTAGAGTGTGACCCACCCCCTAGGATTCCTGAGGGACCCTCCCCAAAACTCTCTTAGGGGCATGCAAAATCGAAACTTTGTCAATTTATGTTGAAAAAATACAGCATTGAAATCGGACAACAATTTCTGTATAAAGAATATGTCCTTTCCCACAGTTACAGAGCCGCCTCAGAGACTTACTTTCTCGGGCCTGAGGAAGAATGCCCCAGGGCCTGTACAGACTGCTTTTCTTTTAAAGTACTTCTTAAAGTGTGACACCCCCCCCCCGCCAGGATTCCTGAGGGACCTTCCCCAAGACCCTCTTAGGGGTCCGCGAAATCGAAATTATTTATCAATTTATGTTGAAAAAAAATAATACAGTATTGAAATCGGACAAGTTAGGAAAGTAAATGCGCCAGTTCTAATACAGTAAATATCGATAAAAATAACCCCCGCAAGCAAAAGCTCTTTGAGGCTTCTTCATAATTTTGAAAGGTGGGAAAGGATCCCTAGAGGGAAAAAAAATGGAAGAAACACTAGCCTATATAATGCCCTACAATTTAATTGCGTCTCAACAGCCCTAACCATAATGTGCGGGCCCCTCCCTGGCAAACCAGATCTAGCCCGTCTGTTCTTGATTTTATCCGGTGCCCTCCAGATGTATTGAACCAAAGAAACCCCAAATTGTATTTTTCCCCAGGCTGTGGAAGTTGGAAGGAGGGGCACCGTCGAAGTCGGTCCCAGTCGCATTGTCCAGTTTTCCACTTGGATCAAGTTTTTGCTGATTCTGATCCTTTTGCGGTTCGTTCAGGGTTTCCCCGTTTAGGTGAAAGGAAGGGCGCAGTTTGTCATCTTGATCTAGATTCTAGAGCTTTTTTGTTCTTCAGAGGAAAAGAAAAGAATAAACGCCATCTGGCAAACCAAGGTGGGACTCCACCCTTGTTGCAAAATGGGGAGTGTGTTATTGGCTAGGAAAAGCTGGAGAAGGAAGAATTATTCGCTGGGTTTTGGTTTTCAAACCTGAATCAAAACATACTTTGCTTTCTTTGTTAATTAGAAACAATTGATTGTAATAATGCTGCTTGCTACTGTACATTAATCATCTTCAAAACATGAATTGTAACACGTTTGCTTTCTTCATTAATCGGGAAGACTCAATAAAATAATACCGCTTGCTAATGCACATTTCATAAGCATCTGGGCCCCTTCAATTCTTTTACAAGAATTCTGAAGAGCAAAAAATGCATTGTCATATTTGACAGTAGCCAAATATGAATTTTAATATTGAAAGTTAGCTTGTTGAGCAATTACTGAACTTTTAATATACTTTAGCAAACGTCCATATTTTCCTTTGATGTGCCATCAATAACAATATGCTTTGGAACAAATATCAGTCCTTAATTATTACTTTGAGATATTCAGGAAATGACATACAACACCTGCAACTGTAAAAGACTTAATTTAAAAGCTGGTGATTTAAAAAAGGCTGAATCTGGGAGTTATATTAGTTGGCAATAACTTGATAAGATTTTGGGGAATTCCTGTCATTGACAATAAACAGTCTGGCTGTGAAGAATTTTTTGTATGAAGATAGGTATGCATTTGACAATCCCAATATTCTCATGTACTGTTGATGGGATAATTTTGGGCAATATTGTAATTAATCTCATACTGTATAGGTAATTGTTAACTTATGATCATAATTGAACTTGGAATTAGGGTCATAAGTTGTTGCAGTCATAAATTGAGGGATCATATGACTGGATTGGAAATTACAATCATTTTTCCAATAATTGTTAAGCAAACATAGCAGTTGTTAAGTAAATCCATTTTTCCCAATCAGTGTTTTTTGGAAATATGAGAAACTGGCAAAAAACCCATCACAAATTGTGGTCACATGATGACAGGACAGTGCAAATGACTGTAAAGGTGAGCCAGTTGCCAAGTGCCCAAAATGTGATTACATGACCATGGGTGTGTCTGCAGCTGCTGTAACTCCAAAAATTGTAAGTACCTAACTCTGGGTAGGTCAGTTGTAACTTTGGTCATTAAATTACTGGTTGTAAGTTGAAGCACCTGTACAGTCATTGAGGAGGAAAAACCCTGTTTTTGATGTCTGGTCAGTTTAAATATCTGTTATTAATCATATTAATAAAATACAATATTACATTATGTAAATGGGGTTTTCTGTTCATAGGTTTCACAAGCTGCAGCTGATCTGAAGCAGTTTTGCCTTCAAAATGCACATCACGATCCTTTATTAACAGGAGTTTCATCAAGTACAAATCCATTCAGACCACAGAAAGTCTGTTCTTTTCTCTGATTTGGTAAGCCACTGGAATCTTTCACTTGTAAACCTTTAAAATTAACTATGACTTCACTTTCCCTAAAGCAGGGGTGGTGACCTCTGGACTTTTTTTTTTTTTTTTTTTTTTTTGCAACCTTACACAGTGTTGCTTGGTTGTAGTTATAAAAGTAATCAGAAATTCTGTTTCTGGAAATAGAAAATAAACACAAAACAAGAAACTTACCATCTCCTTTAAAACCTAGAGAAGCACAGCCTGATCTATGTATCTCTTAAAAGATATTAAGTGTCGGTCTCTCCAGCCATCCAATGGTTGCCACCCTTATCCTCGGTATAGTGCCTCGGTATCATTGATTTTCTTTTATTGCACTTTTATGCCATCAATTAACGGTTTTCTCGATGGTATTTTGTTACCTCTATTGACCTTTTACTTCTAAATAAGTTTCCTGGCAGACCAAATATATTCTGTGGTTCATTTTTTCTCACAGACGTATCTTTAAAACTCTCAAATTTTCTTTCAGACTTTACATTATTGGGAAACAGATAATAAAAAGTGATGATTACATCTAATCTACTTAGAAACAAATCATATAATTCAGCAATTTTATCAAAAATTGCATATTATAGCTGTTACATTTTTAAGTGGATGGTTTTATATAAATTCTATTTTAACTGAAAGTTTTTCTTTTATACCCTTTCAAAGAACCTTTATAAGTTAACAATTTAATCTTTAGTAATCTCTTGGCTCTCTTGTACTAGTATTTCATTGCTACATTTTTTTCCTAATTTCAATCAGAATTCTTACTGTATTTCCATGTAAGCCTATTACAAAACTGTTATTCTCGTCAATGACTAGAACAGATGTTCTGCTCTGGCTGATATGCAGTAATTTCAGTTATACATCTACTTAGAGAATAGCCTAACATTCCCCATTCCAGTTAAATACATGAATACTAATAGCAAATACCCCTCCCCACATCATGACTGAACAACAAATATATAGAAATATAAATTGAGTATTCACTTATTGCTGAACAGGACAATAATGGAAGTGACACAATCTCAATGTTTGTGGTTTTTTAAATACGCCCTTGTGAATATTTTTATAGATTAGAACTACATATGAGGGCATTCTGTTAATGCCTTTTTATGGAATTTTGTTAACAGAAAATTTAAAAATTATGTTGTCGTTACATAAGACGTAACTACAAAATATGCTCAGCCTGACCTAAGCTAGCATTGGCCTACCCAACAAACTAAGCATTTCTGACTTGCTGAAATTGTCTTGACTGATACGTTGATAATCTTTACCATATGGACTGTCTTCACCCTTCTAATTTGTTCCTTGGTGAAGTAAAAATGAGTATTTCCGTAAAGCATGGAATAACTCATTTTCTCTCCCCATCTCTTTATTCTCAAATATACATGTACACAATAATGGGAAATAATTGCGAGAAAGGGGAGTTGGGAGCCCCATTTTGTGCTGCTTTAGTGTCCTCTCTCTTGGTTTGGAAGCCAATAAAGGGGATGAAGAAGTTTAATCACAAAGTAATGTTCACTTCTGTTAGCTTACATTATAAATGAACATGGCCAGCAACTGATTTCTTTGGCTTATTTTGATTTGTTGTTCTGTATTGCAAACTATCGTTAAAATGTCACGAGTTTAAACATTTGTCAGTAAGTAACATACAACTTAAATATTATGCTTAGTTTTATTCAATGAGTTTATGCATTTTTCTGTCTTACAGATCTAACAACTTTTCCTAGCTGGTTATGTTGAATATGGAAATGAAGCAAGATGGCTTGGAACCTGTATAGAAACTTTGTATTAATGTGCCAACTTTGAGCTTGTAAGATTGCTATTGTTTCAAACCCCCTTAAAATCTACCTCTCTAAACAAGCTGTATGCTAGTTGCTATAACTCTGTATCATGAGGGAATCAATTTTATATTCAAGCAATAGTTGACATGATTTTGAATGTTAGCATAGAGTATTTCAACTTGTCCTAATACTTTGAACTGTGTATCCAAAGCTTCACTATTGTTCTAAATACTGTCAGTTCATTTTGTAAAAATATTCTGCTTTTCCAAAACAAAATAGCATCTTCATCTAAACAAATTAGTAATTTACAATCAGCAGAGTACTTTTTTCTCTTTTGTTATATAGCCATAACTAATTTGGAGTGAACTGTATTTGTCTCTAGAAGCATCCTAAATTGTGAATATCCTTCTACAAGACTCAAAAAAACAAAATAAATGCCTTGTTATACACTATTTACCAATCTAATACGATTTTATTTCTTTTCTGTTTTAAAAAACTTTTAAAGCTAGAGTGGCATAAATTAGTCAAAAAGGAAGTCAAGATTGAAACTGATTACTAAATACATAACATAGAACAAGAATATAATGTAGATTTTAAAATAGTTTTGGAACAAACGCTGCATAATCTTAAATAACTGGTTGCATAGAGTTATGGTCCATAATTTATCATACCTGACAGGTCATAGCAAGATCTAAGTTAACCAAGATGTCTGTCTTAGTTTATATTAAGTGCAGAGGTAATGCTCAGTTGGTTATAACATTCATTTGAAACAATCATTCCGTGTAGAACATTGATTTAATTTTCTGACCTATCTGCAGAGTGATTTTTAAGGTATATAGTTCAGTTTCATATCTAAAACCCTCCTTTCCTTTGAACATCTGGGGGACAATGAAAAATGGGGAATACATAGTTTATCATTGTGTTCAAACTGGGAACTGCTTTGTAGTACCTATATGTATGCAAACAAATATTAAAATGCATTTAAGATTGATCTGTAGATTAAAATTACAGATGAACTGAGTAATATCGATCAGATTATATTCAAGAGGTTTTGGTTTTTTCTCACTCCTTAAGGAAGCCCTGTGATTATAGATAACAGAACTTTCATTATTTCAAGTTTCATTAAGATGGACAGAGAAAATGGGTTATTACCTAATTTCTTCCCCCTTTTAAAAAATAAGATTCATTTCCCCATGTATTTCTTGTACAAGCATTTGGCTGAATTTTAAAATCCTCGTTTAATTTTAAAACAACTTTAATTTAGCTTACTGAAGGTCAAAATAAACAAGGTTTGTATAGCTATTTTCTACATCTGGAGTTATATTGTTTTTCTGCATTAATGAGCTACGCTTGGAACACTCACCAATACATGGTAATAGTATTTGACATGTAAAATGTTTATTTTATTTTTTTTATTATTAAATTTTTGAAATTTTACAAAAACAAAACAACCCATCCCCAAACCTCCCCAACCCTCCCATTCCCTCGCCCGACCTTCCCAGAGCTGAACATAGGCTTAATTGTAATTTCTTCAAAAAATCTTAAAACAAAAAAATATAAACCATGAATAAATCTTAAGTACTAAATACATTAATTAAACAAACTATAAGATAATTAACAATAATATATATATAAAAAAACATAAATACCAAAAGAATAATACTTGAAAGAAAAAAGAATAAAGAAAAGGAAAAAAGAAAAAGATAAAAGAAAGTATAATAAAAATAAAAGATAAAAATAAAAAAGAATAAAATCTATAAGATGTTTTAAATTTTAAATATAAGTTATTGAAAAACTAAATAATATTTTTTAATATCCAACTTATATTGTATAAAATCTATCCATTTTTTCCATACCGCAAAATACTTCTGCGATTGATCCTTCAAGAAAGCTGAAATCTTTGCCATTTCCGCCAAATAAGAAACTTTAAAAAATCACTCTTGCAAGGTAGGCAAAGATTCCTTCGTAAAATGTTTATTTTTGACAATATAACCAACATAAAACCTTATTTTAGCATCCAAAACTAGATATATTTTAATTCGGAATAAGCTGAGAAAGAGTTAAGTTACAAAACATTTCTGAGAAGGGTCTGTGACTTTTTAACATAAGAAGATAGTGGCCGATGCAGTCTCTCCCCCAACATGAAATCTTCTATTATTTATAAAAAGTAACTTGAGTTTTCAGCCCTGAAGAGAACAAAGTCATGGCCATGTCAAAAGGCGGGGAGAGGGTGCTCCATGTATAACCTGAATATCTTCAAGAGTCTTCCAGAAGCTTTTGTTGACATGAAAAATACCAAAATGTCATTTCTGTGTTCATTCTTATAAATGAAATTTTCTTCGGCTTGTATCCATTTCACGGCGCTAAAAAACAGCAACATTCATTATAGTTTGCTCAAAAATACAAATATTTATAAATTCCTGTACTACAATCCAGATTCTGGAGTAATAAATTAATACAAAATTACAAGATTTTGAAGGCATGCCTAGAATGAAAGTAATTATAATATCACAACAAACTTGTCAGCCTAGGTTTAGTCTGGACCTTTAGACTTCTTAATTGCCAAACAAGAATGTCCGTTAAAGATTTATTGGTATCATCTTAAGCACAAAGACAGCCATTAAACTTTTGTACACCCCTTTATCTGGGGACATCCTCCTGCTTTCTAACAACCTTCAAGCCTAGAACTCAAGTAGAAATCTTTTTAGTATGTAATGTAAATGCAAAAGCTTCATTTATCTCCCTCCTCTGCACCAGCTTATGCATATTTACACAGAATTCCCATTTATTTGATCTGCTTTCAATAACCTGTTTTTGAAACCTTATTGTTTCTCCAAATAATTTTAAATAAGTAACCTTAAAATGCATTGATGTGAGGATACAATACTGCCTTGAAAACGGTATAGTTATAAATAAGTAAGGCTCTCTGATTGTTTTAAAGACCATCTAAAAATTTATAGCACTCCGACTGTTCCTTTTCAATTATATTTTGAATATTTTTCTTTTGATAAATGATTCCCATTTGGTACCACAAAAGTACTTTTGAAGGCTAATATCTCTAATATGGGTTGGGCATGTGCCAAAAATAACTTATACTGATAATGAAAACTATTCTTACTATTCTCTAGGATGCAATTATTGTAATCTAAGCTTATTATTTTTATGAGTGACTTTTTATTAATTATAAAAATTATGTGTCAAGTATTTAAAAAATATCTCAATTATAATCATAGGTAGCGAGAACATGAAAATAATCCTACTGGCTCTGACTAAAGGCCAGCTAGTCAATATTCCATTTCACTGAGTGACCCATCAAATACAATTATAGGTAGTCCTTGCCTTACAGCCATTTATTTAGTGACTGAAGTTTTGATGGCACTGCAAAAAGTGACTTAGGATTGGTTCTCACATTAACCACCACTGCAATATTCCACTTAGTGACCAACATATGTTTATGACAATTGCAGTGTACTGGTCAAGTGATTGTTATTAAATGTTTTGAGGCAGTATTCCTAACCAGATTCCAACAAGCAGAGTCAATGGAGGAAGCTGGATTCACTTGACTGTATGTTTCACTTACAACTGTAATGATTCATTTAATCACCATAGCAAAAACTGTAAAATTGGACGCAACTCATTTAATGACCACCTTGCTTAGCAATAAAAGTTCTGATCCCAATTGTGTTCATAAGTCCAGGACTACCTTGTAATGGAATGTTTAGATGACCTTGGGGAATGAGGGGAAGAGATGCCTAGGAAACAACCAGACAAGAGACATAGGAGCTCTCAGTGGCTTAATGGCTAGAGAATGAAATTTAAGGAGGACCTGTATTTTCAGATCTGAAAGATTCTGTTAACGTAGCCTTACAATAAAAGAGAATCATTCATCTAGTTGTGTTGCTTGTGTGGTTTACTTGAGAGGGCTGATTATATCTGTATGTAACTTGTAAATAGGAAATCAAAGTAGCTGTCTCACTCACATATACCTAGTGTATATAGATAGGCTGCCCTCATATCTGCAAGCAGCATCCACTATTGATAGATCACACATACAACACTTTGTAAGAAATTCTTTAACTGCAAAATTCAGCCAAATACCAGCAGCATATAAGACTCTGCAATGCTTTATTGAGGGACAATACCTTGTGAATCCATTCATATTCTCCAAACTTGGAGTCAAAAGTTCCTTTTTGAAGAGACCTTAATTTTAAGGTAAAACGTGGGCCTAGTTCTTGAATGGCCACTTTTTTCTCATCTTTGAAGATGTATCTATTAAAGGCAATACACAACATTAACAAAGTGGTCATACAGACATCACTTGTAGCATCAATGTTTAAATACTTACCTATGAAATCTGAAAAAGATATAATCACGCTGATTGTGAAATGTAGCTACTTGTCTGCCAACAAACTGAGGATCATGAGGAAAGAGAGAAGCCAACATGCGACCAATGGAATGGCCCAACCGTGTTGTAAAATTATTCAGGATTATTTCAGGCTGATGTTCTGTAGGATTTTTTCCTTTTCGCTAAAAGTTGATGAAAACATTGTATTAAATGTTAACATTAACAAGCAGAGAAATTTGGCTACTGAAATAAACTTACCTTTATTTCTTTACGTAGACGAACACTGCTCACCCTAAAGTGAGCAGTTGGGCCTTCAGGCAAATGACTTAATACAAGCCCATCTATTTCAAATGTGTTAAGATACAATTAAACATATGATTTATAACTAATGCAATTTATGGAAAAAAAAATTTCCTCAGAAAATCCATACTCTAAAACAATAAATTTGGGGACTTTGTACTTCATGTCCAGTTTCAGTTTTAATAAACATGCCATACAGAAACAAGTACTAAATTCTTTCTCTTCTAATCCAATAGTAAATTTGCTGCTCTATAGAGATGTTTATACAAAAAGTACCACATAGTTTTCATGAAGGATACTTGGTATTTTACGATCTTCATTAATAACAATCAGATCTGTAAAATCCCTTGAAATACACTGTGGAATAATTTTTTTTAAAGCCAGTCCTCTTCGATAGTAAACATGTGAATTTGGAATACACGTGGATAACTGTTCACAGAATCTTACAGTTCTCTGCCAAAACAAAAAAAAAGGTTCAATATACTGTTGTGTGTGCATACACACACACACACACACACACACACACACACACATATATACACATCACCACCATACATCCACGCAAAAAGCAAACCCAAAGCCACACCGATGATGAGGCACGACCACAAACCAGAAGCCAGACCACAGCTGCATCATTAGCCACTTTAAACCCCTCCAATCCATACATGAAGCAAACTGACACCCATCATGAAGATGAGGCACGACCATGAACGTGAAGCCAAAAAATAGCAAGGCAGCCCAGCATCTTAAACCCCCCTGCAACTCAGACTAACCTGAGCACAACAAAGCCCCCACCCAAACAGAACACTCCCCCAGCCAATCAGAGCACAGCCAACCCCCCCCAGCCAATCAGAGCACAGCCAACCCCTCAGCCAATCAAAGCACAGCCAAGCCCCTAACCAATCAGAACACACCTCCACCCAATCAGAACACAGCCAAGCTCCCATCCAATCAGTTCATACCCCCACTGGCAGTTAAAAGGAAGAAACAGCTAAGACCACACATTGCTCCTTGAAGCACGAAGCTGAAAACACCAGCCTGAAGATGACGAATGGGACTTCGTCGAAACGTTGCCAAGACACTTCCAATTTTACGCGGGAGAAAACCCGAATAACCAAATTTAGGTCACACTTTAGATAGTCTCTTTATATAAGGAAAGGAGACAACTATTGGATTATGTTAATGACCCAGAACTTGCAGAAAAGAAACACTGTGCTATCTACAGTTCATGAAAAAATTATTTGAACAGAATAGAGCTGGAAGGGACTTTGGAGGTCTTCTAGTCCAGCCTCCTGCTCAAGGAGGAGAACCTATACCATTTCAGATAAGTGACTGTCTAGTCCTTAAAAACCTCCAGTGATGGAGCACCTTCCATCCCACTGATGAACTTAAGCGTTCTTATTATTTTTTATTTTTTTATTTAAACTTAAAACTTTTAAGTTTACCAATGACTATTTCTATCAATCAATTTTGGCTATAATACAGCATCCATACAACGAAAGGCAACAGTGATTGCTATAAAATTATTAAATGTTTACTGTTCATTGTATCTCACACACACAAACTAGTTTACAAAACAATATAATACATTGAACAGTCCACATTATTAAGTACACATATTCCTCAATCAAAGCAAAATATTACCAATTTTAAAAAGTTAATTTACCCCACGAGGTCTGTCAGATGTGGTGATAAGAATTTTTGGAACAGTTTGCCTATTGAAGTAAGGAGCAAATTCATCTGTAGCTTCATCTAAAGTAACCTGGGAATATATAATGACATTTGTATGACATTGCAGTGATATAGTCAATTTACAGCAGAGGTGTCAAACTGCCGGCCCATGGGCCGGACACGTCACCACGAAACTGAGCCCACCCCATTGCCGGCAATGGGGAAAAAGCTCCGATACATTGCGCAACATCACACAACATTGCGAGTTTGACATGTCTGATTTACAAGAATCAGAACCTTCCATCTAAAAATAAAAATCAATAGCTCTGTTGTCATTTATATTGTACCTGTTACAATAAAAAAAAAATACGCACAACCCTGAGACACAATCTTGCATCAAGCCCTTAGATACAGAATTATAAAAATAGTACCGTAGGCTTTAGGCTTATTATATTTTAAAAACTGGAATTTAAGTTTCTTTGTCTAGGCCAGCATCATCTGTCAGCAAGTTCCTACATCAACTTCCACATTAACTAATTATAATTACATATGCTAATTTTAAATATGGCTCATTTGCAAGAAACTTTTCAGACAGAAAAAAATGTCAGACAAAATTGTTTTAAAAGGAAGAGTCTGAAGAATGTTGAAGAAATGGATGCATGAACTTCAAATAACCATCCTGCCAACTGTTACAATATATTACAGAAAGGTAAAAATGTCTAATTATTTATCTGGCATTTGTTTCCTTTAAAATGCTTACAGAAAACTACCTCTTCGTCATTTGGATCAACTGTGGTTTCATCATATACACGCTGGTTTTCAATGGTTTTTGGTTCTGGTTTTGGTGGTGCCTAAAAAATAGAAGTTCAAATCTGAAATTGATAGAAGACCTCATACTGAACAACTGTTTCATTTAAAGAATATTGATGCAGTTTAGTAATAGCATCAAAAATGCTAGAAAAATGTAGGCAATTTGAGCTGTTATAAGCTGAAAGCTGATCTATGAATTACAGAACAATAAATGGAAGACAACAGATTACCCAACTAATAGCCAAAGTTTCAGAGGGTAAAGCAGTACAAACACTAAATTCTTGAGAAGGGCAAAATTCTTGCTAGGGATCATTAAAAAAAGGAATTGAAAATAAAAGTATCACTATTATTGCCTTTGAAGAAATCAATATTGCAATCATAGTTAATATTACAATTCTAATCATGACATCACAAAGAATACTGTAAACCAGAAAATGCTGCAAAAAATTGCAACAAGATTTTGGTCTATAAAAAAAGAAACACTTGAGCAACATTCATGTTTTAAAGAAAGTGGATTAGAAAAAATGTTTTTCTCTTTTAAACTGATAGACAGAACTGGGTTCAAAAGAAAGTCATTCTGAACATAGCAGAACTTAAATCAGAATTTATTATTATAGCATAGAATTTATTATTATGGCATAAAGAGGTGAAGATGGAAGAGAAGGCTATCACTGATTACCAATCATGATAGCTATACATTACAGCTAGTAATACAGGTAGTCCTCAACTTACAACAATTAGTTTAGTGACTGTTCAAAGTCACAATGATATTGAAAAATGTGACTTATGACCGTTTTTCAGTTACAACCTATGCAGCATCCCCATGATCATGTGATCAAAATTTAAATGCTTTCAAACTGCTTTATATTTATGACAATTGCTGTGTCCCAAGGTCATGTAATCACCTGTTGCAACCTTCTGACAAGCAATATAAATGGGGAAGCCAGATTCACTTAACAATTGGGTTACTAACTTATCAACTACAGTTATTCACTTAACAACTGTAGCAAGAAAGGTTATAAAATGGGGCAAAATTCATTTAACAAATGTCTCGCTTAACAACAGAAATTTGGGGCTTAGTTGTGGTTAAGTCGAGGATTACCTGTAGATCAGGGGTGTCAAACTGCCGGGCTGCGGGCCGGATGCATCATAGCAAAACCGCACCCACCCCATTGCCGGCAATGGCAAAAAGGTCGCGATATGTCGCGATACGTCATGTGACGTTGCAAGTTTGACACCCCTGCTGTAGATGACCAATTCACAGAAAACATGAAGTTGTGTTCTGCTTGTGGGCTCACCTATCTGATTGGCCACTAACAGTGCTAGAGCAAGCTATAATTGACCTGATTAAGTATCTCTGTCATTAATTCCTCCTTTTTACCTTATCTCCAAGGGCTTCCCGTTCCTTCTTCTTCCTTTTCTTAAGGGCTAATTTTTCCTGTAGGAGTAAGGAAGACGAACAAAAGAAATGCGATGGGTTAAAAAAAAAAATAGGCTTATGTCACCATACAGAAGAGAACCCACATGCATTGCTTTAACAATTTCCAAGTCTGGGTGCTAAACCTGGGTTCTACCGTTTGTTCTCATGCTTCTAAGGATAACGATTTGCTTATCAGTCACTGAGACCCCACCGAGCAACTTAAGACTCGAGGGCTCCATTCCTTATTTTATTGACATCTGTCCTAATTAACTTCACAACTACCAACAACACTCCAACAACTACTTAACGGGCTTAAACGCGACAGCGACTCAAAGCTCGGCGACCCTTTCCTTCGCACCTTCTTCTGTTGCTGCTTCCAGCGCAGGAACATGAAGTGGCGCCGCTGCTTGTTCTTTATTTCGGAGACGCTAAAAGTCGGCGGGAACGCGGCCTGGCTGGGTTCCGCGGCGTTTCCATGAGCCTTCTCGCCATAAGCAACCTCACTCGTTTCGTCAGCATCAGGTCGCCCCTGAGTACGTTTTCCCTCCTCAGAGCCGCCAGCCATGCCGTCTTTTCAATAGATGACCTTTTACCTCTTCGTTCTCTTCCGGGTTATCCAGCGTCCCATCGTTTGCCTACTGCGCCTGTGCAAACTTTCCTGTAGTCCGGATCGAACCTACCCGTGGGTGGAAAACGGTGCTCAGTTTATTTAAGCCTAGGGTAACGCATCTCGATATGGACTTGTAGGTTCCTTCTTTTTAAATTACAGCAACCATTTTCTACACAGTCTTTCAGGCAACTGGCCAAAACGAAACGAAACAAACAGCCAGAGGCTCGAGATATGCACGCACATTCTCAAAGTGTTCTCATATTGGAAGGATTGGAAGATAATTTGTGCAATGTGCGAAATGACGAAGTGAAGAAACTGGATGTTAAAAGGGAGTTTGGGTTCCTCTGCAGCTACGAATTTCTATTGTGTGGGAAATGATCCTTGACGTTGGAAGTTATACTTTTCGCTGCTTTAGGCATGATTTAAAGATAATCGATTAACTGTGTACCGTTTCGGTCATCGTTGACTCTTAGTGACCATGTAGAGTTTGACCTTGCTGCTGGTCATCCTCTTTCCTCCATCTTCCCAGTATTAGAGCTTTCTATAGAAAGCTGGGTTTTCAGATAATGTGTCTAAAATAGAATAATTTGAGCCTGATCAAGCCTGACTTGAGTGAAAAGAGAACTAAGGAGGCTTGTTTAATAATCCATTTGTTAAGTTTTCTTTGCTGTCCAAAGTATTCTCAGGAGTCTTCTCCAACCCCAAAGTTCAAAGGCATCAAAACGGATGCTACAGTATTTAAATTCAGAATGAAATAAGACATTGGTCAAAAAATGTTTAATGTTCTTTTTTCAAAATCTTGCTAATACAGTAAGCCACCAGCTAGGTTATCAGAGTAAAGTTTCTCTTAATGGAATGTCTCCTCAGTGGTAATCGAGTTGTCTCATTTTCAGAGTAGGAGGATATCACAGATTTGGAAGTTTTATCACTTGAAAACCAGTATATTATGCCAGTATAGATGACTAGATGTTTTTTAAGCAGCAAATATTTGAATTGCACTCAGTAAACTCAGCCATGAGAAAATACTCCCACAGCCAAGAATTATCTAATACCTTGTCTCTCAGTCAGCATTTTCTTACCAGAAGAACAGCCTGTCTGCATAACTGGGAAATGAATTCAATCCTGGCATCCTATCAGCTGATTGACTTGTAAGATAAAGGCTCTTAAATCTTCTCGGGAACTTAAGCAGAGCAGCAAATTAAAGGCAATAAAAGAAACATAATATTGTTTTGCAAAATTAGGCATGCTTTTGAAACATGCTTTATCTGAACAGAAGCTCAGCCCCAAAACCATAAATGCTAATTTTCAAACCAGAAATATGTCAGATAGGAATGGAAGGTCATTTGAGAGCATCCACAGAATGACTTACTCATCTGAGCTGAAATCTATAACCAGTACCTTTAAACTTTTGGCTAATGCGATTCTAAACATTTTTTTAAATCCCAGGTCATATTTTTCCATTATTTTGTGCTGGTTTCTTTTTTTCTTTAATGTTTAAGGGAGCCAAAATAAAGGAGAGATCCTTATACACTTATAGTACTCTTATATGAAAGGATCCTGAGAAATATACTTCAGTAAGAGAATGGATAAAGATTGCTAAAAAAAGTTCTTAGTGTTCCTGTCAAGCTACAGTTTCTTCTCAATCTTTGGGATATACCAGTTGGACTCTAAAAAGTGAAACACAAACATTATTTGGAGGTTTGTTACTTTTCATAAATTTTTATGAAAATTATAAAATACAAATGAAAACAAAGATGATAGGAAAATGAGAAAAGAAAGTTGTAGGTACAGAGTTTGTTATTTTCAATAGATCAAAAATGACCAAATATTTATTTTGGTCTTGAAATAAATACTCTGATATTCTCTCAATCTGTTTTAGCTACAAACCCCAACCAGATTGTTCTTTATATTAGCAACAGAACAAAGTGCTATTATCTTGGAGGGCAGCAAACTAGCTTTAAGGTTGCAGTATTTTAAGATAACAAGAGTGATCTTGTATTGTTGGCAGCATAAATTAGGAGGGATATCATTTTGATACAGTAGTCAGCCTGTGTGTACTTGGACATTCCTGGCCCTACTTTTAGAATTGAGAGAGAGGAAGCTAACATGCTGTAAGCGGAAAAAACTTTACTACAGAAGATTTTTCTAATTTTTCTGTTTTTATGCAGGCTTGACCAGACTATCAAAACATTACAGAAGGCACAGTGGCATTTCATTGTTAACAAAACAACTTACTTACATGACAAGGAAGTGACTTGAAGGAATCTTTATCTTTAAAACAACAAAACAAAACAAAGCCCTTTATTTACCTGCATGTTAGTACTAGTTTTTCCTATATTGTTATCACCAAGATTAAATATATCAGATGTCACAAAAACGTCTGGAATTTGCAATTCAGGAAAAGCCAGAAGTATTAATATATTTAATGGTTGCAAATTGGTCTGTCGTCAGTCCTGAGGTAGAAAAGTGTGGAATTGCTAACAATTATGCTAATTACAACTCCAAAATCAGGATGACTTGAAAAGTGCATTATGTGAAATTGTCAGTGTCTCTTTTTTCACATATGGTTGGTTGTTCTGATTATGCCTAATTCTTCAGAGACAAAAGTAACATTCAGTGAAGCTTCTGAAAACAATTTATCATCATTAAGTGCTGACTAAAAATTGTGTACCACCACTCCCAAATTTGTCACCTGCTTTACAGGCAATGTAATGATTTGGAGAGATATTCCTCCCTAGTTTGTGGTTATTTATCCTATTGTAATGGTGGAGGGAGATTGGATGGATGGATAGATGGATGGGAGAGAGAGAATTTAGAAAGTCAGCATACGGAAAGAGTAGAGCCCTTTGTTCTATTTGAAATCTCTTCTAGAACCACCCTCCATTCTAGCTAGTTGAAAACAGCTCCCTACTGGTAGCCAAACAATTCTCAATCAAAGACATAAACAGACTCTAATTTCTCTACAAAACAGAGCAAGAAAGAACATGTAATTCAAAACTTCCTCATCTCCAGATTTAAGGAAATGTCTGAGATGCTTAACATTAGCATTCCTGAGATAGCATGCTTTAATAATTGACAGCCAATACAAATTTTAAAAATAATTCTATACCACCTGATTAAATACCTCACGGACAGATCAGCTGTTTCTGCCTAGCCCATGTGGTTGGTGAAATCTTTGTTGTATTGGGATGGTTAGGAACTGGGATAAGGGAAAGAGAAGGGAAAAGCAAAGGTATGGTTCCAAGGGGGACCTGATGCCAATGAATGGTACATATGCTGATAAAGAAAAGCCACTGGGGAATGAAAAGCGAAAACTATAACCATATCTCTAAATAGTGGCAATACCCAAAGACCTATTTGCCCAAGAGATTGCCAAACAGCATTTTATACAGTTGTTTAAGCCAGAAAAACTAATTTTAATCTGGATCATGTGATCCAGGAGGAAGACTTGGGTTGCTCTGGTCAATTTGTTGTAGTGGTTAAAAGATCCTGGTCCAGAAGCAGGGGCCTGTGAGTTCAAGTCCCCTTTTAGATGCAAAACCAGCTGGGTGACTTTGCTCCAGTCATTTTCTCTCAGCCTTGGGAAGAAGGCAAGAGCAAACCACTCCTGCAAATTTTGCCAAGAAAAACATAGTTGCCAGAATTCAGGGTTGACTCAGTGGGCCATGGCTACTAATGAGATTACTCTACATCAGAGGTCCCCAACATTTTGGGCACCAGGGACCGGTTCCATGGAGAGAGTTTTTTTCACAGATTGGAGGGGGTGTGGTTTTGCGTGCTGCCTGCATCCTACAGATGGGGTTTCGCTTGTTTGCACGGACCGGTTTCTGGCATGCCATGGACTAGTGCCGGTCCATGGACCAGGGATTGAGGACCCCTGCTCTACCCAGAATTGAAAAGATTCAAGATTACCCACTATGGAGGAATGGCTGGTAAAGTTGACATACAGTATTTTTCTGAAATGGACAATTTTAACTTTTTTGATTACAGAAAAGATATCATTTACTGTACATTTATTGCTGACTGGAAGTCTCTTTGGGACTTTTGACAAAAAATGAAATAATGAACTTCTGACTTGTGGTTTTGATGATTAGATAGGATAGATTATAGAAACTTCTGCAAAGAATATCAAGCCATTTCTTTACACTTTTTTCCTTTCTATTTTTCTTTTAACTTTTTTTCTTTTCTTTCACCCTTAACATTTACTTTGATTTCTTTCTTTTTTCTTCCTTAGTTTCAGTTAGTTTGACTTACCTCTTGTCTTCTTGTCTAAAAATTTTAATAATAATTACCGGTGATCCTTGACTTACAACAGTTTGTTTAATGACCGTTCAAAGTTACCACAGCACTGAAAACACATTAACGGCTGTTGTAGCATCCCCGTGGTCATGTGATCAGAATTCAGACGCTTGGCAATTGACTCATGACAATTACGGTGTCCTGGGGTCACGTGATCCCTTTTTGCGACCTGACAAGCAAAATCAATGGGGAAGTCAGACTCACTTAGCAAGAGTTTGATTAATTTAACAACTGCAGTGACTCACTTAACAACTGTGGCAAGAAAGGTCATAAAATGGGGCAAACTCACTTAACAAATGTTTCATTTAACAACAGAATTTTTGGGCTCGATTGTGATTGTAAGTTGAGAACTACCTGTACACTGTACATAAAAATGGACAATAGCTACAACAAAGTGTAGTGGCGCTGATTTTCCCTGAAAATGTGGAGAAAGCTTATGTCTGTATACAAAGGATATTTTTCTTGTTTAGGAAAAGCTTTAGAATTGGAAAGCTTCTGTTCCTTTCCAAGCCATCCATGCGGTTAAGAAGGGGCAGCCTCCCTTCTTAGTCCTGGAAAGAAACACAACCTCTTGGGGCTCAAAAGAACAGGAATTCTTCATTTTGCTGTACTGCATATGGGAGACGGTGAGTGGCTGCATGGGTGTGCCTTTAATGCTGTAACACCATAGTACAACAATATTTGTTTGTACAGTTCTTAAATATGCCCTTGTTGACATATTGGTAGTGCACCTCTGGGAAATCTGACTTGATTGGCGTGGTTTATGTAAGGTGCCTCCTATTGTATATGGTCCATCAGTAGTATCCTGCAACTGAAATACATCAGTTGCAATATAAATATTTGGAGCATTATTTTCTGCTACAGCAATATTGTATTGTAAGTTTGGGGAAAGGGTAAGAATTGCACAGTAAGTATTGTTTTTTAGACAATCCCTTTAGAGATAGCTAGGCAAGGGTTAATCCTCCCATATCCAGGGTGGGACCCTGACTTCAGGTTGAAGCTTGAGACAGATGGCAGAAAGCATCTCCCATGTGGTATTGGAAACCTAGTTTTTGCTATCACCCACCATGTCATCTTATTGGATATGGCTGTGGTCTCCCATTTAATACAGGCACTGCTGCAAACTGCAGTGCTACATGGGGAAGTGTCCTTCAAAGAGAAACATGCAGCACAGCCCTGGAGAACATGCTTGCGTGCTTGCTGGGGGAGAACTTCCATCCCTAGACAGAAGAGAAGGGCCATACAGAGTTCACCAGCTTGCGTTTATTGTCCTTCGTGTGTGGCTAATGGCAATGATTTTGAGCAGGTTGATCTGAAGTGAGTGAATCTTCATGCAAAAAGAAGACCTTGTTCAAAATCAGTAAGATGAAGAGAGAAGAGCATCTGGAACAGAATTGCTTTGGTCAAGTGGATCTTTCAGGAGATTCCTGGAGAGGCCAGAAATTCTTCTTTCCTTAGTGAACTGCAGTGATCCTGTGGAAATGAGTTTCTCTGGGTCTTCATGGATGTACAACTCCTAGTCCAGCAACCTAACCACATATGTTCTTGTGTGGAAAAGAAATGTTCAAATTGATGCAAAGAACAGAACTTAACTATTTTCAATACAGCCAGCATCTTAGAAACTATTTTTCTTTCTCTCACACACACACGATTAATTAATAACAAGCCTATACATATTTACACAGAAATAAAGTTTAGTATTTACTGCCTTTCCAAAAAGCCACTAAATCTAGAAGACACCTGAAGGAATTGTCCTGTTAGCTCTTTAGTTAGACTTCTATTTTATAGCCATTTTCAAGACAATTTCTCTACTATTGTTTCTTTCCCCAAGGACTAAAACTTGGCTCTTTTTAAGTAATGCTTTGCACTAATGTGTGGATTGGTTGTAGGCCTGATTGATATCACAGTGTTGTCTGTTGAGGAGCTGGATCACTTTTGTTTGTTTGAATTTTTTTTTTTTTTTTGAGTCTGCTATGGCTTTTTGGAAATGGCAGCAAAATTGATCTTTTCCTTTACATTATTGCATTATAGACGTTGTAAGAAGTATGATTTTCCCAGCAAGATTTTTTTTGTCCTACTTAGTTTCTCTTTCTCTCTCTTTCTCTCCCTCCCTCCCTCCTACCCATCTCCCATATTGCCACACAGAAGTCCAGTGTCCTGTTCCTATAGATGGTCTTTTTTAATATACTTTGGTTAGAGTATATACAACCCCAACGACCAAAGTGAAAATCTGTTGATATGCCAGCTTTTCCCATTCATGGATCACATGGGCTTTTGAAGGGAACAAAGGAATGGTGGTAAAGAAGCTAGGAAAACTTGCAAGAGTTTCAATCTTTTTGTTTTTATTCTGTTTATTTTTTAAAATCAATCTTCTATTATAGCAATCTTCGTATTATAATAACTTCAAGGAACTTTTTTCAACCAGACAAATTTGCTACTATTGAAGGAAAAGTCTTCATCAAGGTTCAATCCAAGCCGGGAATAAACAACATGGTGACTGCTTTAGAAAGAAGGTTGCAGTTTATTGAAGAGGAGAGCCAGACAGAAAGATGGCTCTGGAAGAAAAGAGAGAGAGCACGTGTAGGGAGTAGGTTTTTATACCCTCTGGGGCTTTTGTTTGGAGTTGTTTCCTGTTTCTGTTTGAGGCTTTGTATTTCCTGTCATATATTCTGACCTGAGTCTGGGTGTGCACTTTGGCATCTGTGGGTTAATCTTATCATGTCCTGTCTTAGAGTTTGGGTGAGGTATGTAGATTTTAGGTGTCTTCATCTTCCTAAGCTTCTAGCTGGGGGCCTCCAACCTTCCTGAATGGTTTACATCTGCATTTCTACAGACTGGTTTCTGCTTGGGGGAGGGAGACTTGGGGCTATTAAGAAAAAAACTGGGCATGCTTTTCTGCCTCTTTAAGATCCTTTGAGGAAATATATTTTTCTGCTCTTTCAATATTTCCTTCTCTGGGGGGCTGACTTCCCACACTATAAAAAAAGTACATATATATAAGTTCTGAAAAGCATGAAGTTGAAGAGATTTCTGAATCAAGTCTCCCTAATTTTTAAGATGTAACACACCCACTTCAGACCTTCCAGATTCCTTATTTTATTATAATTTCCTAAGTGAAGAACAAAGATAGAATGCTTTCTATTTTACCTTAATTATAATTTTTGAGAAAGACAGGATATAAGTGATTATTAAAAAGAAGCCTTCCTATATTTTATGAAATTCAAAGACACTGCTTTCAGATATAAATATAATGATGCAATAAATGAAAAGGATTGGTACCTTTCATGAAATAATTATTAGTTTATAAAATTGTTTTTGGTTTTAGTGGTTTTAAGTGTGTTGAAATCTGAGAAGTCTCAAGAGCTAAATGAAGATCTTGAAAATGTTATTCCTTCACCGGTAACCAAAATGGTTTAGAAAACAATTATTCTTTCTACAGTTGAATACACAAGATAACTCAGAGAACCTTGTTGATAATTCAGAACCTTTAAGAATATTAATTTACTACATTTTAAATGTGCTCATAGGCAAAAACCTAATTGTTTTCTTTCATCTTTGGATAGGTGGTAAAATTAAACTAAATTCTTCTACAATTCACTAAACATCTTCACTTAATAAAGTTAGGAAAAGCAATTTCTAGATTATACAATTTGTAGAAATTGTATTATTAATTGTTTGTCAGAGTTTGGTGAGACAGATATGAATGATGTGATCAGGAAATCATTCAGTTTTACCAGATCATTCTGGAACTTGTACATATTCTGCTGCACACAAAATTGTAAATGTTAATAGCATATATTTTTTTGCTTTGTATATGTAATGGATCCAAATTTAAACTATATTAGAGCCAAACAATTTTATAAGTCATTATTTTTTTCAGCCAAATATTTTTCTAGAATAAAACAGATTCAATTTTTTTTATGAAAATGATGTTTCAAATTTGGAAAAGTAAATACATAGCTTTGATAAAGAATATTTCTCTTATTTCTTTAATAATCAGGATAATCATTGTGGCTGAACTGAAATAATTTTTTTGAGATAATATAATCTTTATATATTATAAAATTTTTGTAGTAATAAGGAACGTCTCAATAAAGGTCAGATAGAGTAATGTGTAGATGATAAGTTACTACAACTCTTTTAATATCTGTTCAAATCTCTTTTGGGTAATAAAAATAGTACAGTAAAACTTCAAACAATATAGCATTATACCAAGTTTGAGAATTTAATACTTCATTAGTTAGATCAACCAAAAGGAACAATCTGAAAAATGTATAGGTTATTACTGTAATTAGAAATAGGCGATCCACCCTATAGTTTAAAGGAAACTTGGGATAGTGATCTTGCTAATGCCATACAGGACACATGTTAGCAGAAGTTATGGAAACTGTGTGGATGCATCTTTGTTTCGATGCAAGAACTGCAGTGGAAGATTATATAGCTGGCACTTTACTCCAGTTAGAATGACACATATATATCAAAATTATTCTTACAAAAGTTGGAGAAATTTAAGAAAAGGATCATTTTTTTTTTCATTTGCATTAGTCATGTGAGAAAGCTGTACAGGTGATCTTCTGGTTACAACTATTCAGCAACCATTCACACTTTGGACACCGCTGAATGAGGGGGACTTATGACTGGATCTCTCCCTGAGATCATGGAATTGCAACGTGACACTGATGAATGAAGCAGAATTATGACTGGACCTCTCCCTGAGGTCATGGAATTGTGATGCTAGTGCTTGGTACACAACTCGCACATGGTATTGCAGTGAG